TCTGGGAAACAGTCTGAAGAATGTGATTTTCTCTAAATCATATTCTAAGGGTACTAAAAGTTTTCAAATTTCATATTTCACATTTGAGAAAGTGACTGTTATCGTAACATGTAATGTAACAAAACCTACCCTACCCTAACCTAACCATGGAAAGGGAGTACTGTAGATAACAGCACTAATTAAGCAGTGATTTTGAAGTGATTACCTCAAGGGCACCTCCTTCCTGAGGATAGGTTGATATATTTATAACAGGGATTTCTGTAAAATAAAGGGAATAAAGGGGAAAGGGATTTCTGTCTGAATTTGTTTGGCCATGCTTGGAGGCCAGACATTTGAGACCTGCTTCACCAAACTATGCTGGGTGAATAACGGGTGTAGGTGGATAGTCACAAGGGAAATTCAGGTCGTCCCCCCTTCATGGATCTGATGAAGTCGATGAGATGAAGATGAGCCAAAATGTGTTCTGATGGCACATTTACATTCTGGAGGGTTCCCAACATTTAAATGGTGCACCCCCTTTTGAGGTTGACCTTTGCAAAGCTTGGTACCACATCTAGTTTTATATGTAACATGCTTAAATATCATTAATATTTTTTGATGTCCAAGGCACAGCATGACTAGGACATTTATTTCCTATTTCCAAGGTCAAGAGTGATTACCTACCAATACAGAAGATAATGTTTGTATGAACATGGATAATTCTCTCTTTTGATAAAGCATTTTGTGTTCAGCTTCAATGTTAATACTGTATTTTGGAGTTAAAAGTTTAAAACAGGCTCTTATTTCTGTAAAATTCCTAATATAGATCTTAAAATACCCACAAAACCCATAGTTATCTATGCTAACCCCTATGTTATCTATTATCTATCCTAATCTTAAGGCCATTAGTGGTCTTATGATTAGGAATTTCTTAATTTACACAAAAAACATTTGATTCAGGTATAAAACAAGTAGTACTGATCCAGAAGTCCAGGGATTTTAACTTTTGGTTATTTAATTGGAATCCTGTATTACTCACAAGGTTCAGTCACAGTTAAGTTAGAAATGTATTAATCAAAATTGTTAAAATACTTCACTACTGAGCAATGCCGTGGCCCAACTCAAGAACTATATATCTGACCAGCCTCAGTTAGCAATTAGTGGCTGATAATCCTCACAATGAGTGTCTGGGAAAACATCAATTCTGAGAACTGAAACAAGGCTGAAGCATATGGCAAAATAAAAAAACACACACACAGCCGAGGAAATTGTTCACGATTTATGTGAAAGCAACATTGTAATATGCAGCAGTTATATGGTGCCCATATCTCAAGAAGCACATCAAATAAATTGGAAAAGGTGTACAAACATGCTACTGTACTAATGGCTAAATGAACTATGCACATGAAGTAAACACTAAAGCTTGAGGACCCTTTTGCAAGACAGTTTCAAAGAACACAATGTAAATTTGATTGAGTATTTCAACTCTGCAGAGTCTAGCTGGACAATGTTGATGCCAGAGAATAAAGACCGGATTTGCTGTCCCTCAATTGGTTTGCAAAGTAGTGCTGCCATCTAATGGTGATTTGTGGAACAGTGTGTTGGGTCTTGAACTGTTTAAGAACAATTCTTGGCCATTTTTGAGTAGCTGCGATTTGTTTGAAGGAAGTTCTGAATGATTAAACTAGAGTTTCAACTTTGAGTCAGCTTAAAAAAATCCAGTTTCTGACTGATTCTCACCTTTCTCACATATACAGTACTGTAGTGTGCACAGCTGTTATACAATCCTATTAGAATGAATTTTTCATAAACCCTAAATGTTTGGAGTTATTAATTTTTTTGTCTAAATTTGGCGCATATTTCAAATGCCACAGTGACGATTTTGTTTACAGTAAACTAAACTGAAAACCTATAATGTAGACACGCGATTATCTGGAAAACGCCCCTATCTGGCTAAAATCGTGGCCAGACAAAGTTATCCCACTATCTGGCCAAAATGTCCATGAGAGCTGGAAAGACGGGTGTTTGGCCGGATCAGTGGCCTAACACTCGTTGTACACACCACCAGAAAGGGAGGGAGTCATACCTCACTGCTGTTCACTTCTTTTGTCCCACCCACATTCACTTTCCCTCACTCCCTCCCCAAGAGATCCTTCTGTATGTGGCAGTAGATTGCCAGCCTGGAGAATTTCTATCTAATACAATAAAGCATTCATGAAACAAGTATTTTTATAACTCTTTATTATCTTAATAATATTGCTAAACAAAATCTGTAACCAAAAATATATATGATCATGAACTGTACATCCAGAATTTAAGAAACAATTCTGGCTACCGGTGACGAGTGAAGGGTTATCTGAGTGAGCCCGTCCCTCCCCCCCACCGACACACCTCCCTCCACCCACCCCACATCCCATACACACACTGATTAAAGGTCACAGTTCAACTGTCCATAATTCCCTCCCAAAGGGAAGGAGAGAGGGAGTTGATCAGGAAGGGAAGGGAAGGAGGGAGGGAGTCGGTCAGGAAGAGAAGGGAAAAAGGGAGGGAGAAGTGTTGAGTGTGTGGGGTAACAGATGTGACTCGCTTAAGCCTACTAAGGAAGGTGGCATTGGAGGTGTTGCAAGAATTATATTGTTTTCTTATTGCTGTGGAGAGCTAGTTATGAATATTAAATAACACACTATAATAGTTGAACAGTACAGTACAGTATTTGGTTTGCTATTTATTCATTTAAATATTTACAAGAAAATAAATGGATTTTAACAGAACTTAAGGCGCATATGTTAAAAGTCATCGTAGAGTGTGTCGACACACGTGGAGGGGAGATGGGAAGGCCAGCGTGAGGTGGGGGGAGGAGGGGGTGACCAGGCAGGAAGTGTGATCTGTCTCTGTCCAGTCTCACCCACCCACCTGTTCACCCACCTGCCTGCATGCCCATCTGCCAACCCACCCACCTGTTCACCCACCTGCCTGCTTGCCCACCCGCCTGCCTGCATGCCCCACCTGCCAACCCACCCACCTGCTCACCCACCTTCCTGTTTGCCCAGCCACCTGCCTGATAGCCCACCCACCCATCTGTTCACCCACCTACCAGCCTGATACCCCACCCAGCCACTTGTTTACCCACCTGCCTACATGCCCACTTACCCACCTGCCAATCCACCCAGCCACCTGTTCACCCACCTGCCTACTCACCCATCTACCTGCCTGATAGCCCACCCACCTGCCGGCTCACCCACCCACCAACCAAGCCCATCCACCCATCCAAAAACCACCTGCCTGAACCTGCCTGAACCTGCCTGCCCACCCACTCACCCACCCACCTGCCTGCCCACCCACTTTCCCTCATTAAAGGATTAAACTCATAAGTCGAGGCCCCACTGTACAGTGTTACCTCCATTTTCAAATTTAATCCATTCCCAGAGACGGTTCGAAAACCGAGAACTCAAAAACCAAAACGAATATTCCAATAAGAAATAATGTAAATTTAATTAATCCGTTCCACACCCCCAAAAATATTAATGTAAAAATACATTTTATATATACTGTACTACTACTAATATTTTGTACAACAGTATATACACGTATATCTTACCTTTATTGAGGACTCTTGTTGGCGTGAGGAAGGGAAGGAGGAGGCGAGGTGTTAGTGTTTGGAAAGGGGGAGTCCCCTTCCATTATCTCAACAGTGATGACATTTCTGGGGTACTCTCTTACGTTTTGCAGGAATACCACCAAGACCTGGCTGCGGCTCACTGTTTGTTTGTCTTACTAAGAATCTGTCTATAGACAATTGGTTTTCCCTACATTTTAACACCTGTCTGTAGTGAGACATCACATTGTCTCATAATGAATCTCTTGTTTTTCCTCTATCATCATCCTCACAACTATTTTCTTAGGTTGAACATTACCACTGACTTTCTTGGAACCCATAGCATGGTATATAATAAGAACTTTTGTGTTCAGAAACCAAAAAAAAACACAAAAACAATGAAATTCTTCCCAAAGAATTTAAGCGCAGTCGTCACTAATCGGGAGACAATGATAAACTGAAGCGCGCCATGTGCTCGGCCCATACGTGTATCAACAAACTTGAGCACCGAGGCAAACCTCGAGTACCGAGTCAAAATTTTCAAAGAGATTGAGCTCGAGAACCGAAAAATTCGAAAAGAGGGGTGTACAAAAACTGAAGTTCCACTGAAATCCAAGCATTTTACTAAATTATTTTCACTGAACATTAAAAGAACCAGGAATGATTGCATTTATTTATTTTTTTCAGGAAACCCAATTGAGATTAGATATAAAAATGTGTTCCTGTCAAGTTTTAACATGATGTGACTGTTTGCATTCTAAAGCATGAAAAAACAGCATTGTATATAATGAAACATCTCTTTCTGAATGAGCCATAGTGGCTTCCTAAAACTATCTTGCTGAGATGCCTCCCAACTACTCGGTCACATCAACTGCAGAATTCTGCTTGGCCTACCAGGGAACAGAGTCAAAATCTGGATCCCCTCACAGAGGTGCAGAGGGGGCCACAACAGGCAAACACAGAACTTCACAGCTGATGTGACCTAATATATGTAAGCCATCTAAGTGCGGTAACTTCAGGGAGTCACAAGGGACTCCCACAGAAAAAACATAAACGTTTATTTCCAGACTTTTTTACTAGATGGTTACTAAGAGTTGAAATGAAATCAGCGAGAGTTCTAAAAAAGAGTAAATTGAAAAGTCCCTCCAAAAATCATGCAAATGATGAAAATCAGCCAATTTAACTGTTCTTTTACAGGTTCTTTGGTTTCAGCATAAACAGTGTTTCAATCTTACAATGACTTAAACAGCAATAATTGTGGACATAAAATTATTCTATTTGAGAATAATTGTACATCCATTGTTAATTAGATTTTTTTTGAGTGAGAACATTTACACATTCTTATTATCACTAATAATACAATGACACAAATTCAGAAAAAAAGCAATAAGCCTATTACAGAAAGATGAAATAGTAAAGTACATACCTGAGCATCATTCAGTTCTTCAAGAATTTTTGAGTTTTCTTTTAGCGTATCACAAACACACATAAACTCCACTTCACGGTGCTCATTAAAATACCGTGCTCGAATGGCCTGGACAACATGGGTAGCTGAAAGCCCTTTTGGTACCTGCATAAATCAAGTTGATAATTACCTGTCTGCACAAAACATACCTACAGTAAACATAGTAATGCAAACAGAACTGAAGTAAAGTACTATATGGTAATGTATATAAAAGCAATATTCTTGAATATAACAACTGGATTCTTGCCAAAACAGCTACTTGATTTATACAGTTTAAAAGAATTAATGATATTTTAAATCATTTATTGGCTATCCTTTACATGTTTCATTTCCTCCTGAAAATAGTTTTTACCAAATTACAAAAAACATGACCCTCAAGTACAGTCCTTTCAACAAGGATTATTTACATAGTAAAGATCACACACAGTTCTGACAAAGATGTAGAAAACAAAGAACATAGTAGACTTTTAAAGTACTGTACTGTCTCTGGTTCTTCCATAAGCCTTGAGTCGTCTGCACCATGTCTTGTTCTTTCCTTCTCTCAAAATCTCATATAATCCTTCCCCTTTTTAAAATACTAAGTGTTTTCCCATAAATTTCTTAATTTTACAGTACTTGAGCAATCAAAAATTGTATTTTACAACATTCTTGGGCACTGAGAAAATCCGTAGGAGCCGTTATAACTCGAACCTATGTGGTGGGTGTTCCCAGGCAGACATCCCAGACAACTAGACCACAACATGGTCGTGGCCTAGTCATCTGGTGCGTGTGCCTGGGAACACCCAGTGCATATATTCGAATCCTCATCATGGCTCCTATGGATTGTTTTATTGATGCATCATGTTAGTATGATTACTGTCTAGGGATTCTTGAGCACTCGTTTTCCATCCTGTTATTTAACACTATCATTCTTAGCAACTCATCATCTGTACTTTTATTATACTGAAACTCATATAATTTTTTTATCTGATTTATCTGAGGGCCACTAACCCTAGTGGCTTTTGCAACCCCCATTTGCCTTGATAAGTTTCATCAATCAATTAAATTTCATCAATTAAATTAACATTTCACAAATATAAGTACAGTACATGGTACAGTATACCTGCAACTGGTATCTCAGGATATACACAGTGTAGTAGAAGTTGCAATGATTACAGGGCCTTGTAACTAATGCAGCATGTTGAAATGAAAACAGTACTAATAGATTTAGTCTTGTGTCATGAAGATAGGTTGCAGTAAAGGGAAGGAGAAGGTGTTGATAGTTGTGTGTTGCTGTAGAGGTAGTGTCATGATGGTGTTGAGGTATTATGATGGCATAGTATTGCCATCATAACTCCTCATTAGTTATGATGGCCTTTCAACCTGGTAAATATAGCTCTACCATTTCTGGTAGAGCCCCAGTGGCTCTACCAGAAATGAACCGAGATTTGTCAGTACACTGTTGTGTTTATACTGTTGTGTTTCTGGTAGAGCCCCAGTAGCTCTACCAGAAATGAACCGAGATTTGTCAGTACACTGTTGTGTTTATCTACTCCTGAACATATCTGATAGCTGACATGGATCAAGCCCTGGGCCACCTGGTGGTGGTATTCAGTACTAATGGATTCTAGCTAGTTTTGTATATTTACTTTTGTTTATTTTGTATTGTTGGGGGAGTTGTCAGTTTAGAGATTTCTGAGTCTTGTGAACTCAGCAGTTGTCTGTAAAGCTTTGCTGACTGGGAAAGCATCCAGACAGTGTAATGGCAATGTTGTTTGCTCACTGAACCTCATATGAGAGGGGGCCAGGTTTTGCCTCTGGTCCCCAGTAAGCCAAATAAACTTATGCTACTGATGTGACTAGTAGATTGGAGAAATCTCAGTGAGACATTCTACAAAGTCACCGGGGCTCTACGAGAAAGAGGAGATTCATTACATTCAACGCTGGGTTATTGACTGCAGTCTTAACAAGGGTATCAACTTTATCATATTCCTGCACTCCAATGTGAGAGGGAATCCACAACATTTTGATTTTGAGCCCCCTTACTGAGTATGCATATACTGTACCTGTACTATATATCTATGTCTGGCTTTGGAGACAAGCACATTATTATTTGATTGTAAACTATTTAATGTTAGTAGTGAGGAAAGGCAGTGTGGAATAATTCAGTTGTCTACTTCAGTGTTGTCAATAATTCTGAGTGTTATCAGTATTGCTAACAGTTCAACTTGCAAGGTGAATGCCCAGTTACCGACTCTTTATATTCTTCTCAAGTGTGCTTCCATCAGCATGATGAACAATAACAGCATTTCCCACCCTCCCTGTAGCTGAATTGATTGATCTGTCAGTGTATATGGTCTGTGTGGTATTGTTCTTAGTTTGTAAATTGTGTATGTGTTCCAGGGCACTTAATTTAGCAGCAAGATGAGCATGAGGGTTGTTTGTGATTAGTTTCTTGGTGTGTTATGTAGGCATCAGGATGTCAAGGGGTACTATTTGCTAGTGTGGAGGGAAGCGCTGAACTCTTTCATCTTTACATGTATAATGCAGTCCCAACATTTTAAATGAGTGGCTGTTCTTTGAATCCATCTAGAATCACTAGTTCTACTGCATGTGTGTTCTAACAGTTCAACAGATACAATGTTAGTTTTATTATCATGCAGAAGCTTTAGTCCCATCATAAGATTGATTCCACATATTTTATCTTGAATGATAGGTAAATTTAATTCTTTCTGCATATTGAGAACTTTAATGGCTTTGACTGCCAAGTATCATTCTGAGGGTTTCATTTTGCCTTTTATTCAGTCTATCAATACTTTTGCCATGAGATAGGAATAAAGCTGGTGCATGATAGTCTATCAAAGACCTAATATATACTAAGTACAATGTTTCTGCTACTCAAATACTGTACAAATCTATATGCTCAGTGGGCACCATTGGTTGAAAGAGACTGACATTACACACTAAACAGTATGTACTGTAATGTCAGTTTATTTCAACCAACAGTCCCTACTGGGTACATAACAATAAGAACATATGAATGAAGGGGGTTAGCAGAAAGCCGATTGGCCTATACAAGTCAGCTTCTATTTATATCCTCATATAGTTTTCACAACTCTACATGGTTGTAATGTAGTATACGTACTAGGTCAGCCAATCATTTGAACATAATAATACAGGAACTACAGAGTTTGTGCAGATATAAAAAGGAGCTGCCTTGTAAGGCCCAATAGATCTTCAGGTTTGTCTCCTTATTTCTTATGTTCTTATTGATATATATATACAGTGGTACCTCCACTTACGAATTTAATCCATTCCCAGAGACGGGTCGTAAGTCGAAAATTCATAACTCGAAACAAATTTTCCCATAAAAAATAATGTAAATTGAATTAATCCATTCCACTCTCCCAAAAATATTAACTTATAAATACATTTTATACTGAATACATCCTTGTTATTCTTGAGATACCACACCCAATGCGCCTGACAGCTGGGTGCCTGACAGCTAGGTGGACAGCGCTTCGGATTCGTAGTCCTAAGGTCCCGGTTTCGATACCCGGTGGAGGCAGAGTCAAATGGACAAAATGTTTCTTTCACCCTGATGCCCCTGTTACCTAGCAGTAAATAGTACCTGGGAGTTAAGACAGTTGCTACAGGCTGCTTCCTGGGGGGATGGGGTTTAACAAAAAGGAGGCCTGGTCGAGGACCAGGTCGCAAGGACGCTAAGCCCCAAAATCATCTCAAGATAACCTCAAGATAACCCTGTCACACTCATGGCATGTGCCTTCTCTGCTGATGATTGATGGCTCCTCTTAGCTGGGAGAAGCCTGGTTGTCTGTTATGCTCTGCAACATCAGCAGGCACTGGGTGGATGGTGGGCGGGCGCTGGGTGGACGCTGGGCAGGCGCTGGGCGGACACTGGGCAGGCACTGGGCGGGCGCTGGGCGGACCCTGGGTGGGTGCTGGGCGGACATAGCATGGGAGGGTGGACACGGGTGGTGGCTAAAGGGGTGTCAGCTGACCATGACAATCACCACTCGCATGAGTTCATCTCTCTCTCTCTCTCTCTCTCTCTACCTAATAGCCAGAACCTAATAGTACCTAATAGCCAGAACACACTTCTCAGCCTACTATGCAAAGCCCGATTTGCCTAATAGGCCGAGTGATTTTCTTTATTTTCAATAAATTGTTTCCAGTTGGTTTATTTTAAATATTTGTATTATATTAGGAACATAAATTATTGATTTAGTTATGTTAGTTTAGGTTAGGTTAAGATAGGTTAGGTTAGGTAGGGCTGGTTAGGTTCGGTCATATATCTCCGTTAGTTGTAACTCAAATTTAAACAAATTAACTCATACATAATGAAATGGATACCTCTATCATTTCATTAGAAAAAAATTAGAAAAGTATTGAAATTCAGGAAAACTTGGCTTGTTAGGCAAATCGGGCATTGCATAGTAGGCCAAGAACTGCACTCTGGCTACTATATATATATATGCTGACATGAGAGGTAGAATCTATTTATATCCACCTATATATAGGGACCACCCTATATCCACCCTATAGAGGGAGCCGGCGGCTGAGTGGACAGAACACTGAATGCGTGATCCTGTGGTCCCAGGTTTGATCCCGGACGCTGGCGAGAAACAATGGGCCGAGTTTCTTTCACCCTGATGCCCCTGTTACCTAGCAGTAAATAGGTATCTGGGAGTTAGTCAGCTGTCATGAGCTGCTTCCTGGGGGTGGAGGCCTGGTCGAGGACTGGGCCGCGGGGACACTAAAGCCCCGAAATCATCTCAAGATAACCTCAAGATAACCCAAACTCCATACTGTAGTTCCTATATTATTAAGTTCAAATGATTGGCTGACCTGGTATACTTCAGTGCAACCATACAGTGTTGTGAAAACCATATGAACATGGTATCCAGATATGTATACTGATGGTATAAACCATCAGTATACATATCATATAATTATAATAAAAGTTTATACCCTCACGATCACCACATTGGAATAGTAATATTTGCGACAATAACAACATTTGTATAGGAAGCAATTATGAAACAATAGTAGGATTTTTTCAAGGGCTAAGGTTAGCTCCACTACATCCCTAGAGCTATTTTATCCATATTAACATCAATGGTATAAAACCAGACAATAATAGTTTAAATCAACATACGATGATAACCGCATTACCTTGTAAATCATTGTTTGACGATACCCGCACTGTGAGGGGTTAAGATTAACTCGTTGTTGTAACCAACTAATTTATATATTACTGCAGCTTCCTAGAAAACAAGCAATTGGCAATTATTTATCTTACAGTCTATACATCGTTTTACACCAATGAACAAATTTTACACAAAACTATGTTTAAATGTAGATACTATATTGTACTCTTGATAATAAGCAAAATATGAGCTTACCTGACAGTTTTCAATATCCCAAAAGACACCAATTGGAGGAAGTCGGCAGCCGCCATAAGACGAAGCAGTTTGATGTTGCGTCTGCCTTTCTTCTTTTCTGCTATCCTCCTCTTCCATTTTCTCTATATCTTTCAAATCTTGCTCAATGTCGTCTTCAAAGTCATAAGTCATAAGATCAGCTTCAAGGGCACTAGGAACACACAATCGACAAAGACAGCTAGAGTTGCATAGTCTCTCTTCATTTTTGATTGCATTACGATATGCAGAATCAAATCTATCAGGAGTTAGAAGAATATCTGACCCTGAATAACTATCTTTGTATTTTGAACTATTACAGTTCATTTGTACTTTTTGTGAGCAAGTTGTAATAAGACTACTTTGTTCCAAAACAAATGGCTTTCTTTGCATTTCTTCCTCTTGAGTATACACTGGAGTATTTAATGGTAAATCTGAACTGGTTTCAAATTCAGTGGAAGAAGCACCACTATTTGAACATGAAGGTGCTGACGCAAAGATATCTGGCGTTAATAAATGTGATGCATCATTTTCTACTGCTGTAGAAACATCAATGTTAGACTTTATCTTCACAGGATCAATATTATTTATATGATTCTCAGAACTGGAAGAGATGCTCTTTCCAACTGAAGTAGGAATAGAATTAACTAAATTAAACCCTGGCGTGGATGTTGACAGAGTATTTTTATTTGATATTATGTTAGAAGTGGTTAGGGTTATAACCTCTTTACCATCCAGAAATTCTAATAATGGATAGAGATCCTGACAATCTTTGTTTGTCAAAGAGTATTCGCTTGAACCAAGCAGTTCCGAGTGAGTCATCGACACAGAAGAACAACTACTACTTGGACTATATATCTGATGTCCTGCACTCAATGCTGTTGACTGCCAACTAATCTTAATACAATTATTACTAAGGTCATTAAAATCATTAGCATCAATGGAAATATTTGATGCAGTGTCAACATTGTCTGATGATAAATGTGTGGGTCCAAGGAGAGCTTTCACAGTAGGAGGACTTGGTGGAGGTGGTAAAACATCAGGGAAATCTGAGAAAATAGAATTGAAACAAAGTACTAATTATGAAATTATTTATATACAGTATATGCAAAAGTAATTACAATATTTAAAATATACTGTACTGTATTATACTTACCTTTTTCTTGTATAAAAGAATAATATGGACGCACAGTGAAACCTCGATTCAAGGAACTTTGTTTTGACGAATTGCCGGTGGCAAAATATACATTCCAGACCAGATTTACTCACCTGCATCCCCGAATAAGCATTCGAAAATTCAGCCAAGTGGGGGACGTGTAGATTTGCTTAGGAAGCATGGTCAAAGTTCACAAATCTGTGGGAAATTTGTCCATCATATGATATTGAAATTAAAATTTCACTCACTGAAATTAGCCCGTAGAACATGGGAACATTTACTAAAATATGCTTCCTTTGAAAATGAGGTTTGGAGGCTGGAGCATATAAAATATGGTCAATGTAGTGAAATCTCCTTACAGACAGGTTTCCCTGGCAGTTCCCTGGTCCTGCCGAAAAACATCTACCGTGACGGTTTCGCAGTCAGGGAAAGGCGCCACATATACCAGGAGATACCGATGCAAAGAGGTCCACCTCCTGGGGCCCCTACATCCGGCAGAGCCAACTGAACGAGTCGGTGTCAACTATCCATTTGGTGAACAGAGGAATGAATCATGACAGGCCATCCACCAGGATGTTGGACGCTCCCCGAATGTGAACCGCACGGAGAGCTTAACCCTGAGTATCCAGCAGACGAGTCACCCAAAGCAACCAGCCCCAAAGAGCCTAGGACCAAAGGGAACCCCAGCGGTTCAGATAATGAACCACAGTCCAAATGGAGCCGGTTCGTAGAGCCCCGAGCGACCAGAACCCTCTGCAGCGAAAGCCAAACCGCCTCAAACTCCCGCACCGTGCTGTGAACTTGACAGAAGGATGGAGCCCATCGCTCCTGGCTGGCCTGGTGAGCATTGGTCACAAATCCCCCAGCCAAGAGACGAGGCATCAGTGAATACATCAAGCGAGTGCTCGAGGAGGCGCCAAGGCACTAAACCCCGAAAAACCCAAAGAGGAAGCCGGTGACACAGCACCCGACGGAAGGCCCAGGGGATACGAACCCAATGGTCACAAGAGGCAGAAGGAATATCCCTGGAGAAACCAGAACAGCCACAGAAGCCAAACCCGACATGGCAGGTAAACCAGCACAGCGAAGTTCAGACTCATTATGATGCCTGAAGCATATATTGCCTTGGGTCACAGGATAGTGATAGATTTTGAATGTTTTCTGGCTGGTTTTTCAGGTGCAGTGACGGTGTCTGGCACCGGCTTAGCCAAGAGGTGCCGGGAGTTGGCCAGTCTTGGTGGGCCCTTGGTGTGCCCTCAGCCGTGGTCGGTGGCTGGCTTCTGCTCTGCCAGGGGGCACCGAATGACTTTTGCATTTTAATTAGGATGCAGAAGACAGCGTGTTTTCGTTTCACTGTGAACTTTGCAGTTGTCTGTTTTACTTCACTTACTTTCTGGATGTTTTCTTGATGAGGGAAAGCATAACAGTCCCGTTCCTTGCACCTCTTTAAATGAACCTGGTTCTAGCTCTTGTCCCTGTTAGGCAATAAAAGACTCCTTAAGCTGATGTGACTCACTTATGTGGAGCTATCTCAGTAGTAGCTTCAGGGAGACACCATTTGACCCTCCAGAAAAACATACAGCACTCAATTTGGCTACAATACCCAATTCCCAATAGGATGCATACTTTTTGTATCATACAAAAGTACTTACCTCGTTGTTGTGCTAGCAGGGGTTGAGCTTTGGTGCTTTGGTCCCACCTCTTAGCTGTCAATCTATTGGTAATTACCTAAGTGTAGTTACAGGATGAGAGCTACACTCGTGGTGTCCCGTCTACCCAGCACTCTTTATCATATAACGTTTTGAAGCTACTGACGGTCTTGGCCTCCACCACCTTCTCACTTAACTTGTTCCAACTGTCTACCACTCTGTTTGCGAAAGTGAATTTTCTTATATTTCTTCGGCAGCTTTGTTTAGTTAGTTTAAATCTATGACTTCTTGTTCTTGAAGTTCCGGGTCTCAGGAAATCTTCCCTATCGATTTTATCAATTCCTGTTACTAGTTTGTACATAGCGATCATATCACCTCTTTTTCTTCCGTCTTCTAGTTTTGGCATATTTAATGCCTCTAACCTCTCCTCATAGCTCTTGCCCTTCAGTTCTGGGAGCCATTTAGTAGCATGTCTTTTCACCTTTTCCAGTTTTTTTATGTGCTTCTTAAGATATGGGCACCACACAACTGCTGCATATTCTAGCTTTGGCCTAAGAAAAGTCATGAACAATTTCTTTAGTATTTCGCCATTCATGTATTTAAAAGCAATTATGAAGTTAGAAAGCATGGCATAGGCTCCTCGCACAACGTTCTTTATGTGGTCCTCAGGTGATAGTTTTCTATCTAGAACCACCCCTAGATCTCTTTCTTCATCAGAATTCTTTAAAGATTTCTCACATAATTTATAGGTTGTGTGGGGTCAATGTTCTCCTATTCCACATTCCATAACATGGCATTTATTCGCATTAAATTCCATTTGCCAAGTGATGCTCCATTTACTTATTTTATCCAGATCTTCTTGAAGGGCATGACAATCATCTAAGTTTCTTATCCTTCCTATTATTTTAGCATCATCAGCAAACATGTTCATATAATTCTGTATACCAACTGGTAGATCATTTATGTAGACAAGGAACATCACCGGTGCAAGAACTGAACCCTGTGGTACTCCACTTGTGACATTTCTCCAGTCCGATACATTGCCTCTGATTACTGCCTTCATTTTTCTATCAGTCAGAAAAATTTTCATCCATGTTAGAAGCTTACCTTTCACCCCTTCAATACTTTCCAGTTTCCAGAACAACCTCTTATGGAACTCTGTCGAAAACCTTTTTTAGGTCCAGATAGATGCAGTCAACCCAACCATCTCTTTCCTGTAGAATCTCTGGCTTGGTCATAGAAACTGAGTAAATTCGTTACACAGGATCTTCCAGATCGAATCTTCCATCTTCCAGATGGTGTACAGGTTCCTGATCCTATTGGACTCTACCATATCTAAATTTGAAACTGTGTGTGTGGAGTCAGCCTCAACCACATCACTTCCTAATGCATTCCATTTATTAACTACTCTGACACTGAAAATGTTTTTTCTAATGTCCCTGTGCCTCATTTGGGTACTTACCTTCCACCTGTGCCCCCTTGTTCAAGTACCACCCATGTTAAATAATTCATATTTATCTACAAGTGTTTTAAGCATCGTGTTTATATGATTCAACATTCTCAACATCATGTTATGAATTCCTTACCTGTTTTGCCAATCATGATATATTTTCCTGCCAGAGTCCTGCACTGGACTGCACTGCACCTCTACTCTGCAGACCCAAAATACAGTATATGAATAAAAATATGGAGAAGTCATGGAACAAAAAAATTATTAAGAATTAGCAAACCATCAAGCATTGAATGTAATAAAGTTCCCTTTTCTGGAAGGCTTCTCAGTTGCTACCCAAGCTTAAGCACCGATATAGCGAAACCTTAGGAAATCTGAGGCTTACCCTACCTACCAGATAATAGAACCAGAATCTGGCTCTCTATGAGGCAAGGAGAGCCTGGGGATCATAGAGCTATCTATAACCAAGAACAAATACACTAGAAAGATTAACCACAACAAAACAAGCCACTGCTTGAATGAAATTAGTAACTCTGAAGTAAACAAGGTAAGTGAATGTTGTCACAGAGAAGCTACTCTATTGTGGTACACGCTTGATGAGGTTTTGGGAGTTCTTCTACTCCCCAAACCCAGCCCGAAGCCAGGCTTGACTTGTGAGAGCTTGGTCCACCAAGTTGTTGCTTGGAGCAGCCCACAGGCCCACATATCCACCACAGCCCGGTTGATCCTGCACTGTGAGCTCAACCCTCACCACATGATGGTCCATGTCATCCAGGCTCACGGCCAGCTCTGCGCCTCATTCACTGGTCAAGAAAAACATCAAGGCCAGGGCAAAAAGACTGGCATAAGGATAACAACCCCTAGCACTGAGGAACACAGCCTAGAAACCACCAGGCACAAAGCCTAGGAACCTTCAGTCATGCAGGCTGGAATCCCTAGGGCACTAAGCCTGAGATTCAGAGGGCATATAGCCCAGGAGTGTATGCAGCCAAGGAACCAGAGGGCACACAGCTCAGGATCTGGTGAAAACATAGCCCAGGTGCCAACAGGCACACAGCCCAAGAACCCGCGGGAAGACAGTCCAGGAAACTCCAGGCACTCAACCTGAGAACCAATGGACACAGCCCAAAAACTGGAAGGTACACAGCCTGAGAACCAGAAAGCCTCGTTCCACTGGAACCAATGGATGCAGACTGAGAACCAGTGGGCATGCAGCCCAGGAACCGGAAGGTCCAAAATTCGGAAAGTGGCGAGCCCACAGGCCAGAAACTTTCAAGCATAAAGCTCACAAATGGTTTCTAGGGCACACAGCCCAAGAAACTATCAGACACTGTAGCCATTGCTCTGGTAAAAAAAAACTGTCACCAGGGCAAGGAAATGCAGCCCCATGGCAAAAACCCAGCATCACAGCCTACCACCAGGCCACCTCAGCAGATATATTTATGGCCAAAGCAGAAGTTTAATAAACCTAACTGGTAACATGCCTTTGACAAAGGAATACAGAACTGTACCAGTATGCAGGTACATATACTGTAATCCTTAAGATAAGGTAACAGTTCATTTTTCAGATCACTTTTTTAATTACACCAGAGTAAGTGCTGCACTTGATATAGCTCACACTCCAAAATGCAAGTAACAACGGAATCATCAAACAATAAAGTACACAGTAAATGTAACAATCAGTTATCAGTTTTTGTAGGTAAGTTCACCAATGCTATCTGAATACAAACTCATGGAGCACCGCACCATTTGGATCTAAGATAAAGTAATATAGTTCACCTTATGGTTTACCACACTCAGGAACATAAGCCTATTAGGTTTATCAAGGTCCTCATAAACTAACTACTGACTTTCCCCAGGATATTACAGGGCACCTGACAGCTGGGTGGACAGCGCTTCAGATTTGTAGTCCTGAGGTTCCGGGTTCGATCCCCGGTGGAGGCGGAACCAAATGGGCAAAATGTTTCTTTCACCCTAATGACCTTGTTACCTAGCAGTAAATAGGTACCTGGGAGTTAGACAGCTGCTTCCTGGGTGGAGTGTAACAAAAAGGAGGCCTGGTCGAGGACCGGGCCGCGGGGATGCTAAGCCTCGAAATCATCTCAAGATAACCTCAAGAAGATATGATACTACCTACAGCATTTGTCTAATTCCCAGATATCTAGTTACTGCTAGGTGAACAGAAGCATCAGGTGAGAGGAAATATTGCCTAAATATTCAGTCCTGCCACAGGAATTAAACCAAAGCCCTTTTGGCTGTGACGAAATTATGCTGACCAATTTATTGACCCATCATAAGACCCCTTCATTGTTTATTCATGCATGGGATAAAGTATGTAGTGAATAGCCTATGCTAAAATAAAGTGAATTACGAAGGGCCTCAAGTTTAATAATTCCCAGTTAATAATTCCTATTATAAAGTCTGTAGTGAATAGCCTATGCTAAAATAAAGTGAATTAAGAAGGGACTCAAGTTTAAGTCATGCTACATCACTGTTCTTTGAACAAACCTAATCTGACTTAACAAATATAGTAGAAGTTAGTTTTTATTATATATGTTGTATACTATATGACGCCCCTGACATACTATGGTTGCTTCCGGGGATCTTCTAGGACACAACTGGAATGACGAGCCTGGTAGCCCGAAGCCTGCAGTTCATTCAACCCATCATATGGTAACATTAGCCCCATGAATCCATCAAGATGATGACATGAGAGCATCTGGGACATGAATATATAACATAAATGAGCAGGTGACTCACTTCTCAGTGTGTAAGACGTACACAGCACCCAACAACACTCCACGCACCAAACGTAAACAATAACAACTCCACCATTCAAATCTCACTCTAAACTGGAATACATTTTTTGCTGCAAAGAATTTCCAGAAAAATAATGTAATTAAACTTTAACATAATTATTCTTCTGTATTGTTTTAATTATAAATAGTTTTTAACACAAAAGGCACACATTGACCGCATGTGGTCACGCACCATTTACATATCAATAAAGTAAGCTATAAATGCATTAATTAGTAATTTTGTATACCAAATATACAAAAGAAGTTCATCTAATAAATACCGACTACTGTAATTTCTATGTTTTATTTAGTTTATGGTAATATTCAAATTTTCTTCAGTTCCCTATACTTATTTTTCATAGTACCAAATATAAATGAATGTGATATTACAGACAATGGCCACTGAAGGGAATGTACCACGGAGGGCTGGGGCAGCTCCCGGCGATGTGCACATGAGTGATGTGTGATCACGGCACACCCACTACATGCAACCTGATGTGAACGTGTTCCCTGCCCGGGCCGGCCGCGTAGCTTTAACCAATAAACATCCTGGACAATTCAATAGCATAACGTTGGGAAAGTGGGCGTAGTTAGTACAGCAATGTGGGTGACATGTGACTGGTTGCAAAACGGGTGTAATCAATTCCATGTATTTGCAGGTGATGTTCCTATACGAGTAATTATTAAAAGAAGGCATCAAGCCGGGGAGCCTAAGTAGCATGTTACTATATAATGTATTTAATATAATTTTCCAAATGGAAAAAGAGTATCAAGGCAAACAGGGGACATTCGACAAGCCGCCGACTTCCTGTCCTCGCCGAGGCCACTAGTGTCAGCGACCCTCAGGTAGTTTTAGTTTAGTTCATTTATTATGCACCCCATACCCATCTTGTGGGCGGTAGTGGAAAGGGTTACAGAGGCACGTAATGGGCTCAGGGACTGAACCCCCACAATTCAATTAGTTAAGCAAGTTACAATCTTAATGAGCTAGTTACAAAATTCAGTATAAGTCGTCACACCAAAATATTGTGAATATTAGAGTTTACCTGAAGCTGTATAGAAAACCATGACCTAACCTAACCTAACTTTGGGAGTGTAGGAGGACAAGCATGTAAATAGCATTTATTGCTTCTTAATTACAATTAGTACTTAACCTATAGCTATATTGATATTACAATTTTATAAAACTAATAAAACAAAACTAAGTCTTTCAATAAATTATAAAGTAACTAAAGATATTTTCAAATTTTGTATAAAATCTCTATTGTTTAATAAAACTAAAGAAAAATTATTTATATTTAAAACTTGTGTATATAGAATTGAACACAAAAATTTTAACCTAAAAAATTTTGAGGGTATTAACAGAAAATGATAATACTGTATATGGGGAGGTAAATGTAAGGGCACAATTAAGTGTATTTATGTACTATGCACAGTCAGGAATGTACTTATTACATTTAGTATTAAAACGTACTGTCTATTCGGAAGAAGGGTTGGGAGGAGCACATTGTATACCTAAGTCTGCTATTTAAAAAACAAGAAGGGTTATTAAGACCACCAAAATTGCAATGAAATTCCAGCGTCTATGCATGGTATGTGGCAAGTCTATACTAGGTTTATTCCTCAACACAGTTCATTACAGTACTAAACTTCCATCCTCCTAAAATGAGTGCTTATAGTAACTATTTGGTCGAAGGTGCCAGTATGTAGTGATGAACTATTGTATTAAAGTTGACATGTACTTCGCATGTACAGTACTTCCAATTTTATGCTATCTGAAAAAAATAAAGCTAAAACCAAACAAACATTTCTAGGCGTAGTATAGTATTAGGCCAAGGATCGCTAGGAGAGGTTAGGTTAAGTTCTATCTGTTGCAGTTAAAAAGTTTATTATTTGACCAAATTCAATAATACAAAACATCAACTTTTTGGTGGTCCATCACTACCTGAATTTACATGAAGGCCCGAAGGGCCTTCGAAAGATTTACATTTACACGAAAGAAGGAATTTACACCACTAATACTGGTGGTCCCGACAAGGACAGGAAGCATGTGGCTTGTCAAAAGTCTCCCCATTTGTCCTGATGAATTTTTCCTGCTGGACTTTAAATTATATAGCTACACTAAAACTCACCACTCAGTTGTATTTTAAAACCAAATAGTTTTGGCATTTACAACTTCCGCAGGTAGGCAGTTCCATCGGTTTATAACCCTGTGGGTGAAACGGCATCTTCTGTTTACAGTCCTACATTGTAAATTTCCTACATTGTATATGGGAAGGGGGAATAACAATCTTTTCAGTGCTTAGGGCCTCTAAAGTTCTTAATCTAGACCTCGAGTCAGGCCCTTACCCTCCTCACTTCCTCATGCATCTCTCTTGCTACCTACTAGTTTACGATCAACATCCCACTACAGTTTCTTGCAAACTAGGACCTTAGTTTATACTGTACTCCCTTCCAACATGCCCTTGGATTTTGTTCACATAATTTACATGCACACAGCACCTTTCTACTGTGTTCACTTATGTGAACTCCATCACTAAATTGACACTAAACAATGGATGAACACTAAATTACGAGTTTGCTCACGCCAGTGGAAAGACTCCATTCTTCTACAACACCTTGGGCCAGAAACCAAATCCATCCATGCAAGATGCCCCCCCCCCTTCACTGACAAGTCAGCTGATCAATCAAATTGAAATCCTTAGCTGCATGCAGCAGGCTGGAGAAGGAAGCCTAAGTTAGCCTTGATAGCCCAGAAATGGTGCACAAATCTCCCTTCGCTATGCCAATGAGGTGGCCAGTACTGGTAAACTCACTCTCTCCAAATTGTATATACTTTGCATAAAGTACAGTATATGCAAAATTTAAATGTTTGCTTTATCTGACATAAAAAAAAAAATGATCTGTGAACAACTCAGATTATTTTTGATGTACAGTATGTTGATTTAATAATGCCTATCTCATATGTGAGAAAGAGACGGTCATACAAATACGACCAGTACTGAAGTGACACAGTAACTCACATAAGGACTAGTATTACAATACATCTCAAAGGTTAATAAATACCATTTACAAATTTGATTACTGTATTACTTTTACTAATAAAATTAAACAATAACAAAAAATACAATAAATAAATTATACTTTGAATTAACATTTATCTACTTTTCAACAGAGTAAAATTATGCAACAGAATTTATTACATAATTTAACCTAAGTGCACAGATCTTAATTAAATTTTGGGTAGTAAAACGTATCTGAATGAATAAATGAATATTATTTACAGGTATGTGTGCGTTCACCTAGCAGTGCTTGCGGGGATTGAGCTCTGGCTCTTTGGTTCCATCTCTCAACTGTAAATCAACTGATGTACAGATTCCTGAGCCTACTGGGCTCAATCATATCTACATTTGAAACTGTGTATGGAGTCAGCCTCCACCACATCACTGCCTAATGCATTCCATGCATCACTGCCTAATGTATTACCTACTCTAACATTGAAAAAGTTCTTTCAAATGTTCCTGTAGCTCATTTGGGTACTCAGTTTCTACCTGTGTCCCCTTCTTCGCGTATCACACGTATTAAACAATCTTTATCTACCCTGTCAATTCCTTGAGAATTTTGCAGGTAGTGATCATGTCTCTTCTAACTCTTCTGTCTTCCAGTGTTGTGAGGTTCAGTCCCCAGAACTAAGAGGTATGAGTTACAAGGCTGAGTGAACTGCACCTCACATCACTGGAAGACACGAGAATGTGGGGAGACATGATAACCACATACAAAATTCTCAGGGGAATTGACAGGGTAGACAAGGATGAATTATTTAACATGGGTGGTACATGCACAAGAGGACATAAGTGGAAGCTGAGTATGCAAATGAGCCACAGACTTCTTAGAAAGAACTTTTTCAGTGTCAGTAGTTAGTAAATGAATGCACTAGGAAGTGATGTGGTTGAGGCTGACTCCATGCACAGTTTCAAATGTAGATATGATAGAGCTCGAGAAGCTCGGGAATCTGTACACCAGTAGATTGACGGTTGAGAGGCGGGACCAAAGAGCCAAAGCTCAACCCCGGTAAGCACAGCTAGGCGAGTACACACGCACACAAGCTGGAATATGCAGCAGTTGTATGGTGCCCATATCTTAAGAAGCACATCAACAAACTGGAAAAGATGCAAAGACATGCAACTAAATAGCTTCCAGAACTGAAGGTCAAGAGCTACAAGGAGAGGTTAGAAACATTAGATATGCCAAAACTAGACGATAGAAGAAAAAGAGGCGATATGATCACTACGTACAAAATAGTAACGGGAATTGATAAAATTGATAGGGAAGAATTCCTGAGACCTGGAACTTCAAGCACAAGAGGTCATAGATTTAAACTAACTAAGCAAAGCTGCCGAAGAAATATAAGAAAATTCACTTTCGCAAACAGAGTGGTAGATGGTTGGAACAAGTTAGGTGAGAAGGTGGTGGAGGGTAAAACTGTCAGTAATTTCAAAGCATTATATGACAAAGAGTGCTGGGAAGATGAGACACCATGAGCATAGCTCTCATCCTGTAACTACGTTTAGGTAAGTACACACACACACACACATGTACGTGTGAGTGAGAAAACCAGTGGAACAGCAAGAGCGAAAGAACTTTGAAACGGCATGGGTGAAGGGATGGCAAATCATGCCTCACAGGATTATTGAATTCTACGGTCAGGCAAGATAGAGAGGGCTGGACAGACTGCATATTTCTGGATTGCCAGGAAAGCCTTTCACACAGTACCACATAAGAGACTAGTGGACAAGTTGGAGATACAGGTGGGAGTGAAAGGGAAGATACTCCACTGGATAGGGGAGTACCTAAGCACAGAAGACAGCGAGTCACTGTGAGGGGGAGAGATCTCGGAGTGGTGAGGCATCACCAGTGGAGTCCCACAGGAATCAGTCCTTGGACCTATACTGTTTCTGGAATATGTAAATGATCTCCCAGAGGGAATAGACTCGTTCCTCTCAATGTTTGCTAATGATGCAAAAATTATGAGGAGGATTAAGACAAGAAGATAGTACAAGGCTACAAGATGACCTAAACAAACATAAGGAATGGTCCAGCAAATGGCTACTAAAGTTCAACCCAAGAAAATGTAAGGTTGTGAAACTAGGTGGAGGAAATAGTAGACCAGACACTGGATACCGAATGGGAGGTGAAGTCCTTCATGAAACAGACAGAACGAAAGATCTAGAAGTTGATATCATGCCAAACCTGCCTCCTGAAGCCCACATCAGAATAACATCGGCAGCATATGCGAGGCTGGTTAACATCAGAACTGCCTTCAGAAACCTCTGTAAGGAATCCTTCAGACCCTTGTATACCACATATGTAAGACCAATCCTGGAGTATACGGCCCCAGAATGGAGCCCATACCTTGTCAAGCACAAGACGAAGCTGGAAAAAGTTCAGAGGTATGCAACTAGGCAAGTCCCAGAACTAAGAGGCATGAGTCATGAGGATAGGTTGCGTGAACTGCACCTCACATCATCAGAACAGAGAACACCTCAGGAACACACAATCATCACATACAAAATTCTCAGGGGAAGTGACAGGGTAGACAAGGATGGATTATTTAACATGGGTGGTACACACACAAGGGGAACACAAGTGGAAGCTGAGTACCCAAATGAGCCACAGAGACATTAGAAAGAACTTTTTCAGTGTCAGAGTAGTTAGTAAATGGAATGCACTAGGAAGTGATGTGGTGGAGGCTGACTCCATACACAATTTCAAATGTAGATATGATAGCGCTCGAGAAGCTCAGGAATCTGTACATCAGTAGACTGACGATTGAGAGGAGGGACCAAAGAGCCAAAGCTCAACCCTTGCAAGCAAAACTAGGTGAGTGCATCATGTGTGTGTGTGTGTGTGTTTACTAGTTGTGCTTACTAGTTGTGTTTTTGCGGGGGTTGAGCTTTGCTCTTTCGGCCCGCCTCTCAACTGTCAATCAACTGTTTACTAACTACTATTTTTTTTTTTTTCACACACACACACACACACACCCCAGGAAGCAGCCTGTGACAGCTGACTAACTCCCAGGTACCTATTTACTGCTAGGTAACAGGGGCACTTAGGGTGAAAGAAACTTTGCCCATTTGTTTCTGCCTCGTGCGGGAATCGAACCCGCGCCACAGAATTACGAGTCCTGCGCGCTATCCACCAGGCTACGAGGCCCCTTAAGTACTCACCTATTTGTGCTTGCGGGGGTTGAGCTTTGGCTCTTTGGTCCCGCCTCTCAACAGTCAATCAACTGGTGTACAGATTCCTGAGCCTACTGGGCTCTATCATATCTACATTTAAAACTGTGTATGGAGTCAGCCTCCACCACATCACTGCCTAATGCATTCCATCCGTTAACTACTCTGACACTGAAAAAGTTCCTTCTAACGTCTCTGTGGCTCATGTGGGTACTCAGTTTCCACCTGTGTCCCCTTGTTCGCGTCCCACCAGTGTTGAATAGTTTATCCTTGTTTACCCGGTCGATTCCTCTGAGGATTTTGTAGGTTGTGATCATGTCTCCAATTACTCTTCTGTCTTCCAGTGTCGTAAGGTGCATTTCCCGCAGCCTTTCCTCGGAACTCATGCCTCTTAGTTCTGGGACTAGTCTAGTGGCATACCTTTGGACTTTTTCCAGCTTCGTCTTGTGCTTGACAAGGTACGGGCTCCATGCTGGGGCCGCATACTCCAGGATTGGTCTTACATATGTGGTGTACAAGATTCTGAATGATTCCTTACACAGGTTCCTGAACGCTGTTCTGATGTTAGCCAGCCTCGCATATGCTGCAGACGTTATTCTTTTTATGTGGGCTTCAGGAGACAGGTTTGGTGTGATGTCAACTCCTAGATCTTTCTCTCTGTTCGTTTCATTAAGTACTTCATCTCCTATTCTGTATCCTGTGTTTGGCCTCCTATTTCCACCACCTAGTTTCATTACTTTGCATTTACTCGGGTTAGTTAGTGTGTGTGTGTGTGTGTGTGCGTGCACGAGTGAGTGAGTACTCACCTATTTGTGCTTGTGGGGGTTGAGCTGTGGCTCTTTGATCATGTCCTTTGGAGTGCGTACGTGTGTTAAAAATATATATAGTAGATAATAGAGGAAAAATAGATTGATTAGAAAGGTGGGGCCCAAGAGCTAATAACTCGATTCTGGAAACACAAATAGTAAACACATACCATAATATATATATATATATATATATATATATATATATATATATATATATATATATATATATATATATATATACACACACACACACACACACACACAATCATGTAATTTGAACATTAGCAGTGGTCATTCCTTCTGAAGATGTATTAATATACAAAAGTACTTAGGAAAGTCCTGTTTCAATTCTTCCTCCGTGGTCTGACACCATCATGTATATATGTATGTGTGTGTGTGTATATGTGATATATATATATATATATATATATATATATATATATATATATATATATATATATATATATATATATATATATATATATATATATATATATATATATATATATACACACACACACAAAATCTATTTTCATAAAATCAATTGTAATTAACATGTTTTCTTACACTTTTATTTCATCAGTTATTAAAGAATACAGCAACTATGAAGCTATTAAGCATTATGTAAACCTATATGCTTTCAGGCTTCAATACTATATTTACAGTATGCAAAACCATTTTTCCTATATACAAACTGTGACTAGATAAAGTATACAGCAAGAATTTCACATATGATGTTCAACATAATACATGCTCTGCATTATAAAGAGAGAGATGAGAGCTCTGTTGATGGGCCAGTCTTGTTATTAATCATTGCATAAAGCCTGTTATTCTGTCTTCTTAAGTCTTAAACCATGCAAATCTTTCTGGCCTAGAGAAAGTATGAATCTGTATACAAGATAAACCATGTTCTACTCTATGAGAGCTACTATATATTTTACAGGAAACATTTTCCCAAAAACATTTAATAAAATATCAACATTATAGTAAACAAAAATTTAAATTATTTTTAAAAAATTTCAGTATAAAGCTCTTACTAAACAAAATAATTTAAAACAATTAAAAATGTGTACAAAAATTATGCTATATAGTACAGTATCAATACTGTATTAATAATTCATGTTCTGTACATTGCCGTGATGACACAGCAACATTTAGCACCAATGACCCTATTAACTTACCACCATCAATACAAAAGGGATATATTACTCCAAAACATTTTTCTTTGGAAATGGTCACATAAAAAGCTTCTCCCCATCCAACACTTGGCAACAAATTAAATCTTTGAATCTGGAGTGACGGTAATGACAGGCGGCGATGGACTTCGAGGAAATAGTGGAGGAGACACTGAGCCAGTTGGACTGTCTTTTATAATATCTTGAGCAGTTTTTGCTTGGAACATGACTGTATCAGATGCAATGATTTTTGTAGTTTCCAGATATGTCCTACTATTGCATTCACATTCCTCCAGGAAGTATCTGGAATTAATTTGTAGTTACTAGACAATGTTTAATAATATTAAAAAGAAAAAGCATAATATACTGCACAGTCTCAAGTGTAATTACTATACCTAAGTGTAGTTACAGATGAAAGCTACACTTATGCTCTCTCATCTCTCGTATAATTTTTGCCATATGACACTCTGCAGGTTTTAACAATTCAGTCTTGTCAACCTAGTTGGCTACTGTCATGATTTTGTATGTGGCAATCACACTGCCTGGTATCATTCCATCTACTTGCTTTAACATGTCCAATGCCTCAAATCTCTACTAATAGTTTTTAATTTTTTTAGGTCTGATAGCCATTTGGTAGCATGTCTTTGTACTTCTTTATATACCTTTTGAGATAAGACACCATAAAGCTGCTTCATACTTCATACAAACATAAATTTAGAGTACTGTATATATATTAATATATAATACAAATTGTACAAAGTCCTGACTCACCTATAGTTGGCCATAATGCCGCAGGAGTTAGCAAGGCCACGAGGGGAGCGATCAGCAAGCCAGTTGATACGCCACATAACAGCTCCATTTTTCAGGTGAAAGTTTGCTGAAAAATTCCACATGAAATAAATCGAAGAAACATAAATCATTGATTATCTATATGAGGCTTCTAACCTTAACAACTCGGTAGAAACATCAGCAATGTTCTGGTTACAATCACATTCACATTATCAAGCTAGAGAAGCACATACTGTACTGTAAGAGCTCGATAATCCAAATTCTGGTAACCTGAATCTTCGGGTAACCCAAATGAATTTGCGTTCGTTGGTTTTGACTGCTTAACTTAAATCGAAATTTAAGTTACTGGACTTCTGGTGAATAAACCCCGAATAGATTACAAATTTTAATTTTGGACTTTCCAGGTACAAGTCTGGCTAACTCGAATAGGGGGTGGACCCCATATACAGTAATTTGAATTATCGAGTATAGACTACAGTATTCAGCTGGCGTTAGCTCAGTCCACTCATTGATATATTCATTTATTTAAAATTTAGTTATTTTAATATTTTGCATAATATTGTCTTATTGTCTAGGGTATTTGCAGCACTCCTACACAGTACTTGTGGCATCTTTGTATGACAGCCCTGTAATGTTGGGATTTGGGCATAAGAATAGATATTAGAACCTGTTAGATTATTCTGAACTATGTGTAAATTACTTTGGTTTTCTATTGTTGGGAACAGGAAGCAAGTTGAGCTTATTTAAGTTTCCAGACCTAATGGCAAAGATGTTTGAGTGCATTAATTATTTAATAGATCATTAACATATACAGTATTATAAATAGTAACAGACTCATGACAGAGCTTTGAGGGAACCGTACTTTTCTCTCCTCTCCAGCCTGATGAGCACTGTGTGACCACGACTGCTTCTTGTCTGTTAGGTACTCCCGTACCTCACAGTTTCCTGTTATTCCTACTTCTCTCTCACGGGAGCTGCCATGTATTAATAAGTGGCCCCTTTTATGTGCCAATAGGCCATCTGGAGTTTCCTTTATTCTTATATACTCTAGTAATTCATGAGCAAGCTGTATCAATAGGATTCTGGCAGTCTAGGAAAATGCATCTCATGAGCAAGCTGTATCAATGAAGTTTGTCAAACATGATTCAATTTGGCAGTCTAGCATACGTAGTACGGTGTACCTGGCATGTATAGTGCAACAACAGTGGCTGCGAACAGGCGATTTGGTCCAGGACTCGGATTCCTTCCTGTTGAGGAAATAGATGTTGTCTTCCAATAAGGAGCTAGTTTCCTCTGTATTATTGTGTTTGTGTTAGACAAGCAGCACTACAGCAGATTCTGGTACATCTAGTGACTTCGGATTGTGCAGGAGTTAAATTTGTAAAGTGTAAAGTTCACAATTTTATTTCTGGCATTGGAATTTAAGGTGTGATCTCGGTCTAACAATGTTGTCAGAATGATTTGCTTCCAAAATGCTGGAAGCTAGCTGAAACACTTTGTTCTGGCTTGCTTCCATGAAATTTTTCGACAGCCAACAATAACTGGGCATTTTGGCTATGAGCCGTTCCTACCAGTAAGACGCAATTTGACTGAAGCCTCAAGACGTGACACCATTATTACAAGGTGTGATTGAATTGTTTGTTGTCAGCAGTCAATCCTACCACTTGACTTCTTGCTTGTCGACTCACTGGCCCAGATGTAGCAGGGAAGAATATCTTATGAAAATTGTAATTTATATATACATAGAAATATTTTTGTTTTTATAAATTTTCAGATAAAGTTAATGTCAAAATGTTTCCAAACTCAACCATTTTCAATTCAAAACACAAAGAGTAATGAAAACATTAAAAACATTAAAATATAACCTAATTATAAAAATAGCACAACTCTCAAGGGCGCTCTGCTATGGTTAAGGGGCCGGATTACAGTAAATTAAAAGTTATTAAATTTCAATCAAACTTTTTATACTAGTTGTATATAAAAAGGGCTGCAACTGTCTTACATTTCAGTATCGCACCCTAAATAGAAAGAGAGGATTTTTTTTTTAACAAATTTTATACATTTTAATAATTCATTACAACCACAATTTTTAAATGAAATAATTTATATGACACTCATCTATCACATTAGCATATAATAAAACATTTGTATAAGAAGGATTATCCAAAATATGTTTAGTTTTACTAATACAAATAGTCAAAGTTCCCCAAAAATTTATGCCAATGTATCATGTTTGCAAATATTTATAAAATCAATGAATGAACTTAGGAATAAAGTGTTTTATAGAGATTGTAGAGATGTTCACTCTACATATAAGGTGTAAAATTCATGTAAATTGAAAAAATAAAAGAGGAGTGTCAACTTTATGTTACTTGACAATAAAGTCAAAGATTCTGCCACCTGTGGTTGAGGTTGACATCAACCAATTTCCTCCAAAACTTGCACCCTTACAGATTGGCTTACATTCTGTAAGGTGTATAAGTTTCATGCAAATCGCCTGATAAAAAATTTGAGAAAAAAAAATCTCATTTTTAATTTTTTTTTGCATAAAACTAAATATTAAAATACTTTATTATATGCTATTGTGATAGCTTGGAGTCATAGACATGATTTCAGTTGACACTTGTGTTTGATGTTAATTTTTGACCATTTTGGAAATTTTTTAATAAGTCAATATTTTTTCTCCTCCTTCCTATTTATGCAATGATGCTGAGACTTGGACTAGTTGAACCCAATTTCATATACAACAAGTCAAAATATTTTGATTGAAATCGAACCAGTTTTCATTTATTGCATATTTTTCTAATATGGTCTCTTAACATATCTTCTTAGAAATAAAAGGAGCTATAAATTGATGGGAAGGCCAACTTCCGAGATTAATTTCAGTCAAGGGGATTATAATATAAGCACATTTCATAATTATTTCCAATGATAGATAATGATGGAACATGTTAATCTATAGATTATTTCAAGTATTTATATACCTACCTACACTATCAAGGGTATAACCTCTTCTCTTCTCTATATACAGATAGTATGCACACAGTCTCATTAATGGAACTTCCAAAGTTTCCACCACATCTGGTTCCTCTATCCACCCATTTGTTGTGAACAATTTCCGAAGGCGCTCATACACCTCTGAAGATGAATCCACTTCCAGGTAAATTTGAAGTGCATTTACCTCTGTTTCTGTAAATATGTGAGCATTACCTGGAAAAATACAACACTATTAAGTACTGTTCAATGAAATGCTCATTTCAGGGGTCAGCCTTAGTAGCTTCCCTAGTTCATGCATTTATTACTACAGTACTGTACTGATCAGCCTAGCCAATGCCAGGCATCCAAGATATTACAAATTTACTGGGAAACAATGGCCACAGCACTTTCCTTTGCCCCCTCTATGAGGGTGGAAACACATGGAGAGCAGATATTTATATTCTAATTTATTTTTACAATGTCTTCCTATTTTCAAAATGTAATTATAATACTTTTGAATAAATTTGTTCTTGATATCATTGGATTAACCATTATGCTGCTCACCTTCCAAATACGGCACCTCCCCCTGTGTGCAGGAAATAAATTCTCTGGAAAATATTCTTTTTGTTTTTCAAAATATTAAATACCCTTCCCTGATCACAGACATGTAAAAAAATAAATAAAAATTCTAATTACTTTGGCTGCACTAGGGTCCGGAAAATGGCGTGTGACGTTACGCTTTGGTGGTCGCCCGTGACGTACACTTTGGTGGTCGCCCATGACGTAGACTCCCAAAGGCAGTCGTCCGCCAGCTTCAACATGTGCGAGGTGCCACAAATATTTTTTTTTTTTCATTTTTTGCGTACATTTCCAAATACATTTGGTTTGCTTTTTCTTGCCAATCCCATGTATAATGAATATGTACACAATATTATGGCAGTAGAACATCCGTACTATCCCAAGTCACTGTGTTGTATGTGTCTCAAATGTGCCCACATATATTGCTCATATATCCACTCTTTCATGTTCATTTATGTATATTTACAACATATTTAAACACTGTACACTATTACACACTATATACATTCACTATCAACACACTCAGAACTCTGCGAGTGTGAGCTGCCACACCTAGCCAGCCCTCCCTCATTCCTTCAACACCTCCTTGCACCTTACTCACCAACATTCCTCCTCCCACCACACTGTTATTGTTTTTATTACACTATTTACACACGTTATGTATACGTATCTACATGTTTTATTCACCATAACTATGCAAGTAAGCCGGTATTGTGTCCAAACAGCACAGTAGCCACCATACACTGCATGAGAATTCACACAGCAGCCAGCAGACGACACTACGATTACGACATCACCTCCCTCACCAAAATGGCTCCTCCCACAATACTACACACATATGTACATGGGTATATACACACATTGTATATACCCATGCACATATGTGTTCACCATAGCGAACCACTAAGCTAGTGTGGTGAGCAAAACAAGAGTGGCTGCTACATACAGTGAGACTACCTCGATTCTCTCCCTCCCTCCCTCACCAAACTTCCTCCTCCCACAATACTGCGCACAGTTCTAATTATCACCACAATCCTGCTATTATCACAATCCTGGTCACTAAATCCTGTAAATGAATAATTGACCACAAGTTTATTTTGTAAAGTAACATATGAAGTCGTTTGAAGATTCCTAGATGGACTAAATAATGCTGTGGTGCTGTGGCTAGCGCTGTGAATATCGTGAACAGCACTGATTCACTGATATTTGAACATTGTACACAGTCATTAACACACTCAGGCTCTTCTGTAATACTATAATGGCTAAATAATACCAGTTATATATATATGTTATGATATTATTAGGCGATGCTGTGGCCACAAGCTGAACAGCAGTGCTGTGAGCTCATGCTGCGTGTGCCAGCCTTGGTTGCTCACTCAGTACTGAGGCCCTCACACCCAAGAATGTTGCCCACAATTTTTTTTTAAATGGCATCTGTTTGCAAGAGCCCTAAGGAAGCCGATGTGAACCCCCATGTAGCCGCGGGAGTTTTGACTCATACACTAAAAATATAAGATCCCGGAGGCACGTTGTGCACCCCCCGTCGAGCGCCTCCAGGTGCGTTGCGCAGTTCAGTAGTTAAGCATTATCACACACTGTAGCACTAGATTATTTTTACCACACTGGGCAAATAATTAGCAACTTTATCTTTAGTTATTTCAATAGCTGAATATGAGCCTTAATATAACACTAATACTGTACTGAAATACCTGTACTATTACAATGAGTTTTAATTACCTCTTTGTGCTCTTGCCATCATGCCGTTCAACCACTTGACAAAGCCAGGTATAGGTGAGAGGCTGGAAAATTGTGACATGCTTGGAAATTCAGCTTTCAATTCATGTACTACTCTTTTTATTAGATAGTTTCCAAGTTCTATGCCCTGAAAAGTAGAATCTATATTATGTGACATATAAAGCAGAAACAAAATTTTACAGAATCAGGAAAAAAATAATTCTCTAAACAAAAAAATTTCCTGCAATCCTCTCTTTTTTTCTCACATGGTCACCCATGTATGGCTTGTAGGCACACAAATATATACAGTACAGTATTACAATCCTATAAAGACATCCTCACTATTTATGTACCTTTACCATTAATGGTTTGCTCACAATAGGAATACCTTGTTTCTGAGGTAGTGGCAATGTGTAGATTCTGAAGCAAATGTAAGTACAGAATATATGAATTCATTGTTTTCACTAGTTTAGCTTACAATTTCTTTGTATTTCCATTCCTTTACAAACTCTCCATAGTATGTAAGGGTGGCAATTTGACCTTGGGATCGAGTAGTAAGGACCAAGCAAAATTTGTAATGACACAGAAAACAGTTATTCTGTTATTAAAAAATTAATTACAAATTTGAAAAGCATTCTTTTTGTCCTCTGGAGTAATACCTTCCAGAGAGTATAACAGTAAAAGGGTTAAGGTATGGGAGCTAATGAGGTGTGGTCTACATGTGTGGGATTGGTCTGAATGTGCCAGTTGAAGTCCTAGAATGTTACTCTATCTCATCTATGGTTTGTGTGACAAGTTGTTAATTGAATTACTCGTAGCGAATTGAACGACATACGTTTTTTAAAAGATTTTTGTCCCAGGCTGGACGAGATGGTCACCAGGCGGATTTACAATGTCCAGCTCGTTCTACTGACATAACCTAAGGTGGCCCATCAAAAGTGATAACCCAGGAATATACTGTATAAAGGTGATACCAAGTAAACATTACCTTTTATTTTTTAATGATGGAATAATTGGGTGCAGCAGGCATTTAGACTGGTAGGAAAGAGACATGATGCAAGAAAGTAATCCATTAAGTGCATATGAAACTTAAACCTGTGGCAACTGATATTTAGTGAAAGACATGCCTGTGTTTAGTGGTTATGGTTTCAAATAGCCACTTGTGCCTGATAAATTTCACACATACCAAACTTGTACATACCATAGAAGCACTTGGAAGTTTACATGTATAGTTGAATTAATTGGAGCTATTTATCACAAAGGAAATGGAAGGTAAGTGAATGACTTATGTTTACCCAATAAATGAAGAAGGATATATATAATTATTTTTAATGTCAAAATTAAATTTTTTTTTAGGAACAGTTAACTTTTTTCATATTAGAAACTCTAATGCTCACCCTTCCATAAGCTCATCTAAAGCTTTATCCTACTTGTTTTCCATGGAACATAAGCTGCCAATTAGTTTACAAAAAAAGGTTCTCATTTAATGCGGAGTGAATAGGGGCGATCAGATCAAACCCAGCCAATATAACTCGCCAAGCATGATATGAGCATGCTACTACTGCACCACAGAGACCCAGTGGCCAAATACTGGAGCCCCTTAGATTATTCAGCACCATATTTTCCATAAACACACTTCGCTAATCATTTTAACATCCAGGTCTCCAATTACTGATGGGTGCAGAGGACCAAACAGTGAAAGAAGTAATAAAATTATCTTTAGTACTACAGTACCTGTATTACTAGAACAAATTATAATGAATGTAGCTCTTTTACCTGAAGTCCTTTTTGTGTTGATGTTATTGAGTAAAATATAGCTGTGTTGATTAATGATGGTTCTTCACTGTCCTTGTTAATGCTGCTTTCATCTGGTGAAAATATTTAACATACGTATTATAGACATAATGTTTCCTAGGCAAATTTTCACCTGCTCAGTAAATTTTTCCAAATTAAAGTGCAATGAAAGTATATTGAGTTGTAACATGTAGAGATAAATATATAAAAGGAATAAAAACATATTTCAAATATATAATTTCTTGAACTAAAACTTTATGCTGAAAATATTAAACCAAGTGAGCTAAGAAAGTTAGCTTCTCCCAACATCTTTATGTTTAAGATTTAGTACCATAAATCTTATTTTATAAAAGATGTTATTAATTATAATTGGTATCTCTGTATATAATTAAAATTATTTTATTTATTCAGTGTCAATAGCCTTGAAGACTGAAGATATTCTCCACTATAGCCTTGGCTATCACCTTTCTGCTATGGCCTTGGTCATCACTAGGGAATCTGACAGCTGAGTGGACAGTGCTTTGCATTCGTAGCCTGAGGTTCCGGGATCGATCCCCGGTGGAGGCGGAGACAAATAGGCAAAATGCTGCTTTCACCCTGATGCCCATTACCTAGCAGTAAATAGATACCTGGGAGTTAGACAGCTGCTACAGGCTGCTTCCTCGGGGAGGGAAGGGGGGGGGGGCAAAAAGGAGGCCTGGTCGAGGTCCAGGCGGCGGGGTCATCACACACAAGGGAAAACAGTCAGAATGCATGTCCTCGCGATTGTTTTAGGCATCTCGGGAAAAAACTCACAAAAAAAAAAAAACAGCCGCTGACTCAGCGTGCGTCCCAGATGGTCTGTTGCTCGCCAGCTGTCAGGCAGGAGTGGCCACAAAGAGATAATTACCTAATTATTTCAATGTCCCTGATTGATTTTTCATAGTTTTTTTGCTGTAATATTATTCAATAGTGTGTAGTGTGATATATTTTTATATAATAAAATGAGTGAATCATCGCTGTACTCAAAAATATGGTGTGCATATTGTTGATTCAATTATTATGTTCATCAAGCAGTGAACAAATACTTTGTCGGTTATTACACTATATACACAGGTTATATATAAGTATCTGCATGTTTTGTTCACCATAACGAATCACTAAGGTGCTATTATGAGTCAAAAAGCTATGAGGAGTGACCGCCACACACCAGCCAGCCACTCGCTGCCACTCACTCCCTCAACTCCTCACTCACCTACATTCTCCTCCCACCATACTGTTTTTGCTTTTATTCACTATATACAGACGTTATGTATAAGTATCTACATTCATGTTCACCATAACGAACCACTAAGTTGGCATGCTGAGTGGCAGTGGCAGCCCGCCACTGGCTGCTACTTCCTCCCTCCCTCACCTCACCTGACTCACCCAAATTCTCCTCCCACAATACTGTTTTTGCTTTTATTCACTATATACAGACATTATATATAAGTATCTACATGTTTTGTTTACCATAGCGAACAACTAAGCTGGTACAGTATAGTGAGTCCAGACAGTAAAAGGTAGTCACAGAGTCAGCAGACAGTGCTACCTCCCGTCCCACCAAGATTACTCCTCCCACTACAGCGCTAATTATCACAACAATCCTGCTATTATAAGAATCCTGGTCATTTTTATCACAGTCAGGGGTCTTCTGTAATAATATCATCGCTAAATAATAGCAAGAACATGTATATTATGGCATTTTTAGGCAATGCTGTGGTCACAAGCTGAACAGCAGTGCTGTGAGCTCATGCTGCGTGTCAGGCTTGGTAGCTCACTCAATACTGAGGCCACTCACACCCGGGAATTTGGCCCACGATTTTTTTTTAAAAGGCGTCTGTTTACAAGAGCCCTGATGAAGGTGTGGTGAACCCCGTGTATCTGCGGGCCGTTTAAATCTTGCGTAGTACTCCAATACATCATATGATGTGGAGCGCAAGTTACTGCAAGTCACTGAACACATCATATGATGTGCTGCGCAGTTAAAGAAAGGGTTAATATTTGTTAACAATATTATTACCAAAACAATATTGTATACTGTATAGTGTTTTAGTAACTCCATTCAAATGTCCATCGGAAAATATGAGTTTAGCAAGGTAAACTGTCTTTACCCCAATGTACTTAATTAATGATTTGCAGTACCGTTCCTAAGCTGCAGCCAAAAGGTCCCGAGTTCAATTTTAATGGCAGAAAAAATGAATTTGGACAACACATCCTTTCACCTAATGATTCTGTTCACCTATAGGTAAATAGGCACCCTGGAGTTAGACAACTGTTGTGCGTTGCATTCTATGCAAGGATAATAGTTGGCCCAGGGTGTCCATAATAACTCAAACAGGCTTTCTGTTCATGACAATAGTAAGCCATTTCTGTATATGCTTCAAAACTGCTCAAAACAAATTTAGTAAAAAATACTGTACCTCACAGAATAAATATGTATGTATGTAATACAAATTTGTATATAATATTGTAAATCAAAGAAAATACAGTATAAGTAGAATAAGAAGCCATGAAATTTTGATAATATTAAAACCTACCTATTGAAGATGCCCTTGAATTCTGCAGAATTTTGGCCATGGATTTAGATATTTCATTTGTAAGGAAGATGTGTAGTACTACAAGGGGTTCCTTAGGCATACACGAGTGTGTGAAAATAAAACATCTGCGATAAGGGCCCACACGACGCTTTAAATCAGTCCAGTTGCGGACAGGATGAACAGCTTCATATTCTGATACCTGGGGAATAAACACCATGCACAAATTTTTAGTATTTCAACACGGTTTAATGACGACACAAAGGAGAATGAATGAAGGTAAAGTAAATACGATGGCCACATATATACCTCATACATACTATATACTGTATTTTTACCTATTTGTACTTTAATGAATGTCTTAGAAAGTACTGTACTTTGAGACCTGAGGATGTGCTCTACCTTCCCTGTTCCCATTCCTTCCTTCCTCCCTCCCTCCCTCCTTCTCACTTTCTCACTTTATCTCGTATCATTCCTCACACTAACCTCATGAGGAATTTTTTATTTACAAAATAACAAATTCATATACTGTATCTAGACAACTTCGGTGAACTTCCCAGCCCTCCATTCCTTACTGGTGGGTGTGGCAATTGTAGATGGTTTATTTAGTTTTATTTATTATATATGTACAAGAAGGAACAATGGGTTTATGAGAGTACACATTGATGTTTTTACATTCTTGTAAAACCACTAACATGCATAGCAATTCGGGCAGAGGGGAGGGAGAAATATAACAGAGATGAACATGAAATAATGTGGGATCTAGGTGGAAATTTTTGCTTTCTTTTAACATTTTACATCCCTCAAAAAATGTGCATCGAGTCTAATGGAACACCTCTTTCAGGACATGTAGGCTGGCAGGCAAGCCTGGAGAGATAACAGGGCAACTGACCTGCTGGCTAGACAAGCACAGCAAGCTTGGCAAAACAGGATGGCAGATAGGCAAATAGGTTTCATGAGGTGAAGCTAGACAGGCAGAGCACGCCAGGTCAAACAGTAAGCCAGTTAAGCAGGCAAGCAGTTAGGCATGCAGCCAGATAAACAAGAATGCTAGATATATACAGCTGGCAACCCTGATCTGAACTTCAATGCCTAAATATGAAGAAGGGTGGGGTGTACTCCATTTTGTTCCTTTGTTCAATATTATCATCCCACATGTGTATGTAGCATGATGTAATGCCTCCCTTCCCTCAGCCACCACCAATCTCCCAGTCACAATGTGCTGTATATATATCTTTGTCTGATTATCCCAATAAATTACTTTAGGAATTTATAAAATATTTATGACCGAGTGCATGAGCCTAATTTTTCCTATAATTACAAATAGATAACAAAAACCTGTAGTACATATGTAGAAATTCATATAGAACCTTTATTAACCTTTTGTAGCATATTGCATGGCGATTCCCAAGTAATGCGTTGAACATTTAAGAGCCCAACTGTAAACCAAAGGGAGAGAAGGTCTCGAAGTGTGGAGTCCAAAGTCTTGAGAGCTGCAGAATAGGATGGATCTGAAGTCCTGGAAAATAATGTGCTCTGGAAGAAAAAAATTATCATTAATAACGAGAAAGCTCAATATACTATGCGACAAGGGATGCTTAAAATGTTAAAACAAAACAAACTCTCCCTTTGCAAAATACATGAGAATGGCTCAACAAGTACTTCAGGCACATACCTCCAGGAGCTAGGGGTACAGATGAAGGATCTGTACCCTAGCTCCTGTACCCTAGGATCTAGACCACACAGAGGGTCAAAGGGTTGCATGGGGAAGGGGGGGGGGGGGGATTCTTACATTTATTCCTAAAATGATTAATAGTTGGAACACTTACAAGTTAAATGACATTTATTCTAATGCAAGAATAAATTTAAATGAACTACATACAACTATTCTGAATTGAGGGATAAGAAGCCACAGAAGAGTCACTTAACATTCCCCAAATACAACCCCTAGAAAAGTACTAGGAATAAACACTGCACAATTTAGTGCCAAGCACAACACACACACAAACATACAGCTAACTAGATTAACTCCTCATGAATGGCCATACAGTGGTGGTCATGCCCCATGCACTATCCAGAGGGACAGCAACCCAAAAATAGAAGATTCATAGAGGAATCTAAACGCCTCAGAAATGTATTTCTGGTGGAACAAGGGAAGTACAATGCATTTCACAACCAGGCTGTGAAATATTATGCTATGAACATGTTGGGCAGGTTGTAAAAAAACACAATTGCATGTGGTAAAGAAAATCAAAGCCAAAGCATTATCATCTGCAAGATCATTTTAAGATCTCTTTTGTTGTATGGTTCTTCCTGTGGCCATGTGTTATTTACTGGTGAACTGTAAGCAGCAATAATCATCATTTTTCTCTGATTACATATTGGTTATAACCTCCTATGGCTGTTTCTAGGATTTGAAAACCAGTCTGTGCTACAAAAAATTAAGTGAATAAATTAAAGTTTTGTATTTTTTGGAAGTTTTTCAGAAATCTAGATTTCACCCAAATCCAGATTGGGTCTGGAATGATATCCAATTTCTGAGGGAACACTGTACTTTACAAACAAGATTATTTCAACATTATCTTCATAGTAAGTCTTTACACTAAGTTTTTATTTGTAACTTACTAGTAAATCCTGACGCATGTCCACTAGAAACTTGACCCCTCCAGAGAGCCGAGATATTTGTGAAAAAACCCAGTGATGGGGTGGCTGAACAGCGATACGTAAGCGGTCCTCCCACCTCAGAATTTGGGCATCTATTTCTCCATCACTCATATCAGCCTGCACAAAATATACCATAATTAACTACAGTACAACATAAAGACAATATTATTTGCTTTTAAGTTATAATTATTTTGTTCCTGGTGGAAAAATTGTCACATTAATTAACTACTGTATGACCATACAGTATCATAGTTGTTCAGTGTGGGGAAACTACAGAGCAATTCAGCAGATACAAGTTTGAACCTCCATTTGTCATAGTTATCTAGGGATAGTGTAATGTATTTCTTCTTAAATGACTTTGTCACAAAGGTCCTTAGGAACTCTGTAAGAAGACCCCCCCCCCTGCAAAGTTACCAAGGTGGTGTTACGAGAAGTTATCAGGGATTTAGTTCTGATTTGCCTACTTCTCAAAAGAGGTCACTGCTACTACTATTCATTTGACCAGAGTGAAGGTAACATTATTCATCTTATTGTTTTGCCAATCACTTTATCAGCTCAGCCAAACAGCTGGCCAATGGCACATGCAATTACATGCAGAGCCAAGGTCGAGTTCACCAACACCTCCAATTCTGTGTCCCTAAACACCAAATGTGGCAGCTCCATGGCATCCATTTGGACACACAACCTAGACTACTACAATCTAGAAAAATGAACATGCAAAGTGGTTGTGGCCTGGTAAGCCCTAACCTCATCAGGAAGGTCAGAAAGAAGAGCCACACGGGAAGAGCAAACTCCACAGGGTTCAAAGGTGTCATTGACCCAACAGGCAGTACGGTGGGGGCAGAAGGAATGATTGTTGCCACATGGCACAGACAAGCCACCTACAAACTCTCACAGTGCACAGGTTCAGGGGAAAAATTCATATGACCACCGAATCAACAGAGGATTTCCAGGGCCTAAAGGGTAAACCAAGCAGGACACCCAAGCACTGGAGACACTATACTGGACCTAAATGCAAGTCGACACAGCCTGGGTTATGTGGCTATGAAGGCTGACCTCGGTGCACTGAGAGAAGTACACCTGCTTGATGGGGTTCTGGAAGTTCTTCTACTCCCCAAGCCCGGCCGAGGCCAGGCATGACTTGAGAGAGAGCTTGGTCCAGTAAGCTGTTGCTTGGAGTGGCCTGCAGGCCCACATATCCACCACAGCCCGGTTGGTCTGGCACTCCTTGAAGAAAACTATCTACTGTAGTTTTCTCTTGAAGATGTACATGGGTGTTCCAGCAATATTTCTTATACTCGCTGGGAGGATGTTGAACAAACGTGACAAACCACCAGTTTGCCTTGCAATCCAAAGTTGCACCCGACCTGGGTAAAGACAGGGAAGCCCCAAAGCTCCTGACTCACCCTGGGCAAGGGCCATCACAAATGAGAATGACCTCTAAGGGCATGACTCCAAAACATTCCTGAGGAAATAACTCTGCCAATGCAAGAGCAGTGCAAGGGAGAAAACAGGGAAGGGAACCCTGAGCACATGCAGTTCCAAGCACCCTTAAAACTTGGCTAATGTTACACCACAGTATACAGGAAATGTCACCAATAGCAAACATCATACCACTTAGCTAAACAGGCAGAATACTAGAGCCAGCAAGAGAGGCGACCCAGTATGCACTACATTAGTTACAGAACCAAGAGCTCAGACCCTGGTGACTTTCAGGTTGCCTTCCCTTGTGAGGTGCCTCTGTGAGGGGCCCAGGTTCTGGTACCTGGTAGGCCTACAGAACTCTACGGGTGATGCGACCTAGTATATAGTACCATCTCGGCGTATAGCTTAAGGGAGTCACAATGGGCTACCCCAGAAAATCAAATATTGAATGTAATGAACCATCCATTTCAGTTGGGCACCAAGCAGCTCCTGTGCTTACAGGCTGGGACTGTTAAGCCTAAAGAATGCACCAGTCCTCCAAGACCCCCACACTGACCTACCAATTGCCAGGACTAAGATCTAGTCTAGGATCTACTAGGATCTTGTAGAGTGTGTCAACCTAACCAAGGCAGAACATAAGTGCTAACTAGGACTCCAACCACTTGACCTGGATGACGAGCAAGCCAAATGGAAAATAACCGGATTCCTGAATAGCAGACAAGTTGAATGAATGGGAGCCCAAACCAGTCAGCCATCAAGGTAGGACAGAACCCAAATCTCAAGAAGACAAAGTGGGGGTCAGAGAACTACCCAAGTACTCCTGATAAAGATCCTAGGTACCAAGTTTAAACCAAATGACAGTCCCAAAAATTTATAGAAAAAGTGCCTCAGCTTATTCCTGAACCTCGGTTGAAGGGGAACATGCTAATAGGCATGGAAATGAGCCAAGAACTGTTTGACACCATTTGGCAAACCTGGGATATGATGGTCATCCAGAATGTTGGATACAAGTATTGAGGGCAATCAGGTACAGAATGAAGTAAGATGGTACATTTTGCTTGAGAACAGGGAAGAAATGAGACACCACCTGGAGTGAGGGGTATCCCACAATGATGTTCTTATGCAACAAGTTCCAGATGGCAGTAGGGTGGAGCAAAGAAGTTGACAGTTAAGTACATCCCCCTAGGACATCAGAGGAAAGGGAAAAGAACAACATTTATCTATTCCTGGAAACTAAGTAATAAAACAAGGCAGAATTACAGAAGCAACACGAATGACCATACCGAATTACATCTTGGAAATCTACAAGAATTAAAGTTCGGCTCTGAACTAGCTGGGATATCCATCATGACTAATCACATGGTAAACAACATGGTAAAGGTGTTTCAGCCAACTAAAGGATTGTTCTGCAAGTGCACTAGTTATTGGTAAGGTCAGAAAATTGTGGAACAATATGAACAGGTTGGGATAAATGGAACACACATCATTAGCAATCATAAAGTACTGTATATTGTTGATGGACAGTTTCTTGACACTTGATTTTGTCACACAGTACTCATTATTTCTTTGTATATGTTTTTGAATGAAAGAAACTCTGTGTATGATTTCATTTTGACTGTCAAAGACGTCCAAGTATGAGTCTGCTAAAAATTTGACTTTTATCATGCAAGTGAGTGACGAGTTTAACAATTCTTGACAAGGCACCACTTTTGAGAAATTTGCTCAGGGAAGAGTGGTTGTTCCCCTTGTTCCCTCACTAGATACACTACTGGAACTATTGAATGAGCTTTCAAATTAAAATATGAAACACAAAAAACAGCCACACAAATTTAAAATTATTACAAACACAAAGGGTTGAGTGCCTGACATTCACTTAGATCCATAATTATCACAAGCTGTATACAATATAATACAAGCAGAAGAATCCAGTTCCAGCACTGGGGGTGCTATAGATTCTCCATGCCTACTATAGAAGATTAGTATAACCTACCTCTGGTTTCTGCTGGATAAGTTCTTGAACAGCTTGATGATTGGTAGATAGTGCAGTGGCCATGTGAATCAAAAAGTCTGACTTTTCATCTGTGCCAAGTTGAGAGTAGTAGTAACACATATCTCGCATGTCCTCCTGCAGTGATTACAAATTATGTTATGGTAAAATAATGCCGTTTTCACATAAAAAGATCCCAATAGAGCCTTCTCCTCACAAGTGTGGGGTTCACGATTCGAGTCTCCTAGAGCCCAGGTGAATGGACTGTTTTCACATATTAAATATTTAAATACTGTTTGACTTTTATAACACCATAAACAAAAATAATGTAGGAAAATCGACTTGAGAATGGTCCAGGACGGAACGAAGCGTCATTGTCCCTTCACTTTCTAGTGTGGTTTGGTTAACATTTAGTAACTAAAGAGCCTAAATCTGTATTCTCTTGAGCACAGGCGGGAAAGATACATAATAATTTACACGTGGAAAATAATAGAGGGGCTGGTCCCAAACCTGCACACAGAAATAACATCACATGAGACCAGAAGGCATGGCAGGATGTGCAGAATACCCCCATTGAAAAGCAGAGGTGCAACAGGTACTCTTAGAGAGAACTCTATCAACATCAGAAGACCGAGGCTGTTCAACACGCTTCCACTACACATAAGGGGCATAACTGGCTGACCTCACACAGTGTTCAAGAGAGAACTTGAAAAACACCTCCAAAGGATACCTGATCAACCAGGCTGTGACTCAGATGTCAGGTTGCGAGCAGCCGTGTCCAACAGCCTGATTGACCAGTCCAGCAACGAGAAGGTCAGGTCGACGACCGGGCCTCGGGGGTCGCTAAGCCCCGGAATCACCTCAAGGTAACCTCAAGGTAAGGTAGTAAAATTCCAAGAGTTCCTATCAAGTTCTCAAAGCATGATAGGAAATGCTTGGTTACCTTAATGTTTACACCAGAGTTAGCATGCACTATCCCACTTTGAACATGGAAAAAGGTATACAAAAGTCCTGAACGTACAGTGGGACCTCCAAAATCTAGATCATATTGTTCTAGGTCTGACAAGAGATTTACAATAAAAGTGTAGATTTTTTTAATACATAACTGATATTTTTTAATATCACCAAATCTTCCATATTTTTCTTATAGTAAAGATACATGTTTCTGTATACAGTATTTAGACACAAATAATATATAAACAGTGATTTTGTGCACAAAAATATTAAGTATGATAAAATGTACAGTACGTATTACACAAATTTGATTACTTTCAGAAGTTTTTGTAGCAGAGGCTGGTCTGAGTAACCTAGAGGCAGCAAATGCCATTATAGTACTGTATTATGTCATGCTGTCTGTTAAACTACTTCACCCATCCTGAACTGGCCTTCAGTACCCATGCTTCATGCCATTCTTTCACCTACAGGCTTTAACTGAGCCATGAGCAGTTACCTCCAGGGCATGAATCTTAATAAATCACAGATAAACAGCGTCGTCCAAATCCTAATACTGTACTTGGATTACAATATTTTTCTGTCTACTCTTACTACTGTTGTACCAATGCCATACTCATCTGCCAGCCACTTGTCTTCACAGACACAAACAAATTTCTCAAATAAATCACCCTCCTTATCTCTAGTAAGGAGGGTGATTTACTACCGACTACTGTCTACCTCACTACTGCCATGTGTGTCAGGTGTGAAAGGAAGACAAACGGAAGAAAACCACCGACCAAAGGGAGGGAGGGTGTCGGGAGCCTCCGGGTCTCACCCAGAAAATGGCGTTTCATTACATTCAACGCTGGTTTTCTGTGGAGAGCCCTTTCAGCTCCCCAGAGCTTCCTAACCAAAGGTAAAGGAAAAGAGGGACGTACCCAGGAGGGTACGTACTACTTGCTCCTCAACTCGAAGTCGAGACAACTGGCTGCAACCTGCGACCCAAGGTTACACATGTTCAACCTCCAAAAGCCCCATGCCCGAATGTCAGCCCAGGACATATTACCAAAAACAGCAAAATTTGATTCAGTATTCATTGTTTACCTCGGTTTTCAGAGTTTGTTTATATATGTATGGGTCCATCGAGCATGTGGCGCTTCAGTTTACCAGTGTCTCCAGCATAGTGATGATTATACTTGAATTCTTTGTGAAGAATTTCATTGTTTTTGTGCTTTTTTGGTTTCTGAACATAAAAGTTTTACCATTCACTAACTATTTATAAAAGTTCTTATCATGCACTTGAATATCATGCCATGGGTTCCAAGAAAGTCAGTGGTAATGTTCAACCTAAGAAAACAGTTGTGAGCATAACAATAGAGGAAAAACAAGAGATCATTCATAGTGAGACAATGTGATGTCTCACTACAGACAACCTGCTTGATACCTGTTTGATGGGGTTCTGGGAGTTTTTCTACTCCCCAAGCCCGGCCCGAGGCCAGGCTTGACTTGAGACGGTTTCGTCCACCAGGCTGTTGCTTGGAGCGGCCCGCAGGCCCACATACCCACCACAGCCTGGTTGGTCCGGCACTCCTTGAAGAAAACAATCTAGTTTTCTCTTGAAGATGTCCACGGTTGTTCCTGCAATATTTCTTTCTGATCTAATCCCCGGGAATGGATTAAATTCTATAATATAGATATAGAAACACTATATACCATATATATTATATGGTATATAGTATAGTATATATATTATATGGTATACAGTATAGTGCATTTAAAACTAAATTTCACAGATGTAAACAAGTTTAATTTTACTGAAATCAAGTCTTAGCCTGCCAACTAATTGGTGAACAACTCAGGGAGAATGTGAGTTGTCCCAGTTCAGTGAATCTAAGGTGGCATGAATGGTGCTACCACCTGGTGGTAGTTGGTAGGGGTTTGGCCAAGCAGTTTAACTGGAACCTGTAGTTAACACAAAACACTGTTAGCAGTCACCTGTGATACCAAGAGTGCTTGGAGTGACTGAATTTTTATGGTTAGATTCTAGGGTACAGGGCCTTACTTTAAACATGATAGACTCAATAAAACATATACCCGGTAATGTGACTGTCCTGTACTTACATCAATGACAAGAACACTGGCTTTTGAACCACGCTTAGAAACTGCTCGTTCCATAGCATCTTTGGTGGCTTGTAAGAAACCTGATGGAGAACTGAGGGCTGGAGGAGATGATGGAGGCGAGGGCATAGGTGATGGAGTAAATGGACGCTCATTATTTGATGTGGTGTAGGAACCTAAGGATATTGGAGCAAGAGTAATTCCTCGACGTACAATGGGGATTGGGGATGATGCACTGGCCCTAAGGAAAAAAGAAGAGATTCATATACTGTATCTACTGACATAAATTTACTTAAAATATCCTGTATGTAAATTACATATGAACAAAATACAAATGATAAATGAATACTGTGCACAAATTTATTTTTATATCACAGGTAATCGACGAAACTACCCAGGTCTCATAGCCAATGTTGGCATATTTCACAATATAAACACCTGTATTGTAATTCAAAATATTTTTAACCTGTTGGCTGTGGCACTTCTATTTCAGCCCCATACTTTTCTTGGGTATAAATGGAGCTAATGTAAGGAAGGAACCTTGGTAGGGAAGCCTCTATTAAAACTCCCGCAAGTTCAGTAGCTCTGCTGCACATGTGAAGTGTGTATAATTACAATGGGGAGAATGACATTCTCTAAAAAGATGTAAACAAGTACTCAATACTGATATAGAGACTATTCCAAGTATATTCTGTGATTGGAAACCATGTGGAAAGTATAAGTGTTAAATGTGGAAACTAGTTTAAACAAAATATGAAATGAAAAGAATTAGGTGGGGAACCAGAAAAAATTGGAATGCTGGAGGACAGTGACTGTAAACATGAATTGACTATGATACAGGAAAATATAATTCACTGAAAGTAGCAGAACCTCATACAAAGAATTAGGATGTAATGCAAGCATAAACAATTACTACTACCAAGTTTTGTTATTGTGTGGCGACACAGTGTTCTCTAATAGCCCACATCAGAGCAAGTGCACAACTTTATCATGCCTGAAGAATTCTTTATGCAGTATAATATACCCTAGCATAAGACTAGCAAATCATGTTTCATTTAGATAATTTTACTTTTATTGTAATACTTTATGGAACAATGTATCCTAGAGTAAAGCATAATAGATACAGCCTACACATCAAATGAGTAGTCAGGATAAGTATCATTCGGGCTAGTAACTTGCGTGATCTGTGGACAGGCTTACCCTTGGCTATAATAATATAATAATAATAATAATAATAATAATAATAATAATAATAATAATAATAATAATAATAATATTTTATTTACAAGAAGGTACAATGGGTTGGCGAGATTACATTAGTGATATTTTTACATTCTTGCAAAGCCACTAACACGCACAGTGTTTCGGGTAAGCCCTTAGTCTAACATATCAGGTAAGGTGCAAAAGTACATTGTAGCAAGGTTATATATCAACAATATAAATTGACAGAGGTGATTACACTGGTAAAGATGAAGTTCTTAATTAGTCTTACATACTAATATTGGGGAAATAGGGTAGTACAAGATACAGTGTGAGTTTGAAGCACAGAGTGGGAAACTATGAGGATGTAATTAGGTACTTTTAGGTTTTATTTTTGAACAGGGCATGGGTTGGACAATTTGTTAATTCATCAGAGAGTGAGTTGCAAAGATTGGGTCCATTTATTTGCCAGGAGTGTTTGCACAGATTTAGCCTGACTCTGGGGATATGAAAGATATATTTATTTCTGGTGTGGTGCTCATGGGTTCTATTTTTGCAGCTCATTCTATTAGATTAGGTTAATCAAGGTCACTGGCTGACTTGCCAGTTACTTCTCACTCATAACAGAAAACCTTTTCTGCATCTTAATCATTCAGGAGGATGAAACATTGTTCCCTAGATTTTCTTAATGTTTTCCTTTCAATATAATCAACAAAAAATAATTAATCAAAATTCTGAGTAAATTCTCTTTGCCTTACAAGGTTCTTTGGTTATATTTGTTTGTCCTTGACGTGCAACTAGAAGTTTGTGATGCGACCAACCTGTCAGTCATGGTGGCGAGCCCCGCGGGGCGTCTGGCACTCCACTCGAGCACTGTGGGTCCTGCAGCAGTAAACAACGTAGCAGATCTCTCCATGCGCCGCCCATCTATAAATAGCCTTCTGAAAGTTAAAGGGACGTGTCTAGTGCTGATGTTATGTGAAAACATGTCTGGGTTGAGCGTAAAAAGACTGAGTGGCTCCCTGTCCCCATGCCCAGCTGTTGTTTATATTGATCACCTGAGTGGGGTGCCCCGGTCAGCTGTTCCAGCCGCTCCAGCCGGGCTGTGGCGCGCCTTTCGAATATTTGTGTAGGCACGTTCGTCGTTTCGTCCATAACGTTCCCCTCTTTTTAGCGTTCATTTATAATTTATTAATTGTTATATTTAATTTATTTAAGGGTAATAATAATAATAATAATTTATTCACAAGGTACAATGGGTTGGTGAGATTACATAAGATTGTTATTTTTACATTCTTGCAAAGACACTAGCAGCCTCAATACAAAAACAAATTAAGTTTGCCTAGGGGAGAACATGAGATGTACGGGGTCACCATAGCCCGTGCTACTTGGAACTTTTTGTTCCAAGTAGCGAATCTTAAAACAACAACATGAAATGTAAGGCTATTAGCCTTATTATCCTATTAGCCTCCACTAGCAAACACTGGAAACAGCACAAGAATATCTTCCAATATTCCTGAGTGTATGACGTAATTACAGAGCTCAAAGAGGTATATGTGGGGCGTCATACATATCATTTGGTCTGAAGTCACTTATAACAGGGCAATCACAGATATAGTGTTCTGTCATATCATATCGACGATATAAACGTCGTTATCATAGATTTTCCCGGGAGGTGGGGAGGAGACGTTTCATTTCACCTGATGCCTCTGTTCACCTGCATACAAAACACTTGGTACATAGATCAGATCGCACACATATTTTTTTTTTTTTGTACTATTTCGAACATAAAATTTGTACGTTTCGTATATTATAATTGCTCAATATTAAAACCACAATATAATGTTATTAAGTTAAAATCTTCTACTTAACAGGAATATACAAATTAAATGAAGTTAATCCGGCCTGGGTAAGAACGCCGCCCGCCAGCGTATACACCATTATTATTTCTTTCTTTATTATGCACCCCATACCCATCCCGTGGGCGGTGGTGTAAAGGATTACAGAGGCATATAATCGGTTCAGGAACTGAACCCTCTAGTTCGTTTAGCTAAGCAAATAACAATTTTGCTCTGCTAAACGAGCTAGAGGGTTCAGTTCACTACACACCCGAATGCCCACAAACATGATCGAACGCACAAAACAAGCCTGTGTCTAGACACCTGTCTGGACCATAGCCCAGCGCCACTCACCGGTCGACCAGCCCTTGACTGCTTGTTTGAGACTGCCGGCGATAGTTGCCAGCACATCAGTGCCATCTACACTAAGCCTGGCCTGCCTATATAAGCAGCTCACCACCGGCCAGTCTCCGGCACCGCTCCTGTGCCAGGTAAGTCCACTACGGGTTCACCATAGCCCGTGCTACTTGACCCGCTCCTGTGCCAGGTAAGTTACGGGCTCACCATAGCCCGTGCTACTTGGAACTTGTTCCAAGTAGCTGAATCAATAACAACAACAAGGCCAGTCTTCAGAATACACTTCGTGCTCTCAAAGCAGTAAAATATACTGTCGCCTCCCCAGAAGACAGTAAATGCGAACAGCTTTTGTACCTTGTATTGCACCTGTTTTTGCCCTTAACGTAATTGTCACATTTTTTTATTTTTACATTTTATATTGTGGATTGCCAAGTGGATAAGGGGTTTGTTTTATTTGTTATTAGTCATTTTTGTTATATTAAATGTTTAACTTTTTCATTCTTTTGGAATTTACCAGCAGCTCTCACACCGTCAGGAGGTCAAAAGCAGTCTTATTTACTTTATTTTACTTTTATTTATTTTATGTGATTGGCTTAGCACCAGCCAGAATAGCCACTTTTATTCTTTCAGATTTATGTCACAGAAGCCACTAGTATTAGTGGCTCTTAGGTTAACTCAGGTAAACTTACGTGTGCATATTTGGTTGATCAGACACAAAGCGTTCAGTGGTTTTGTATATTTATTTAGTACAGTATAGTCTAAGTTACAGCAGTCAGTTTGTTGGTATTGTAGTGACGTGTCGTAGAAGTTGAGATGAAACTTGGAGCAGAGCAGAGAGCTGAGTGAGGCCAGGGGTAAAGAGCTTGGGAGAAATTTGGTGAGTAGGATACCACAGGGGTTCATTTTCGGGCCAACCTTTTTTGTCATATACAGTACATCATTTTTGTTCATATACATTATTTTGTCATACAGTATATATCTCATAAATGACAGATGATATAAACCACATTGTCAAATTTGCAGATGACACTAAGATTTATGGTAAAGTGGGAAGTGAAAATTTTATTGAAGCCTTACAAAAAGATCTACATGAACTGCACAAGTGGTAAGAACTGGTAAATGCTTTTTAATATCGAAAAATGCAAAACCTTGCACGTGGGGCAAAACAACCCAGGTCAACTACCAAATTAATAATACAGTATTGCCTTGCAGTAGATTGATTAATGAAGAAAATGAAGGTGTAGCAATGCTCAAATTTTTGGGAGGGACGAAGGAGACTCATTATGGCTGCATATTTCACTAGTCCTCTATTATGCTACGCTGAGGGCATAAACTGGCCTGGCCATGAGCCGAGGCCCTCTTCCTCCATGAGAACATGACCAGGAAACTTATCTGCTCTTCCTAGCAAACACAGTTTGCAGTTTCGCCTAATTTACATTTAATTTAATGCACCAGGTAAAACAATCTCTTTACCCGAGGGCCACTAACACTAGAGGCCTCTATGAGGACAGGAAGCCGGCAGTGGAACAGGACGAAGAGACACTAGGCACACATGACACTTTTATGTTTTGTGCTCACTGAGGTCACTGCTCACACTTTTGGGAAAGGTAACCAGCTACTCAGGCAAAGGACTTATGGTGGATGTAGTAAACATGGATTTTGCTAAAACCTTTGATAATATAGCACATGACAGATTAGCAACAAAATTACAGGTAAATGGAATTTACCTGAGGGGCCACTAACACAATAGTGACCTTGATAAGGACAGGAAGCCGGAAAGGAATAACAGATAGAATACTAGAATGGATAAAAAATGGTTAAAACAAAAACAAACAATAGGTTGTGCTAAATGGGAATGACCTCCCTGGTGAGTGCCCACTGTTCCTCACTCTGTGGCTAGATAGCTTCAGGGAGCCACAAAGGGTCTACACCCCAGACACTGAGCGTTGAATGTAATGAAATGCCAATTTCTGGGCGAGCCCCTATGGCTCCCTGACGTCCTCTCTCCAGGTTGTTGGGGAGTTCTCACATCTGCCATAGAATTGAGGGTGGTGTTGCAGGCTGACCACGAGTTGCCCTCCCCCTCCCACAAAACAAATGGGGCGAACGAGCTAACACTATTTTCAAACCTTTTCGATTGCTTGTTTACATGGTTGGGAGGAGTTCTTCTGGCGGTTCTAGAGGCTTCAGTCATTTCTAAAGCCAGGAGTGGTCTTTTGTTTTGCTGAATTTCTGGGAGCCTTCCCTGGTGGTGGCATAATAAATACAACTACTAGTTAGTTTAGTCCATTTATTATGCACTCCATACCCATCCTGTGGGCGGTAGTGGAAAGTGTTACAGAGGCACATAATGAGCTCAGGGATTGAACCCCAAAATTCATTTAGCTAAGTTACAGTTTTTATGAGCTAGTTACAAAAATGCACATTGTCACATCAACAATGGGTTTGAGACCGACCAAAAGTAGTCTCTAAATAAAGCCACTGCTCCCAGCGCCTCTGTGAGTGAGCCAGGTTCTGGCTCCTTGTCCACAGTAGACTATATAGAACTCTGTGGGTGAGCGACCTAGTAGTTGGCATACGATCAGTGAGAGTAGCTTTAGGGAGCCACCAGGGCTTGCCCAGAAATGTTGTAAAATCCTGTTTCAAGGTCTGGATTTTGGGGGTTTCACTGTACAGTTTTTATTATAAAATAACCTCTAAGGCTTTTTATTTTTTCACCAATTAGACGTAGAAAAGACATCTTGGAACATTTAGCCTCAAGGAAAGATTTGAGTCAAAATGGAGTACCACAGTGAAACAGTTAACAATAAACACATTTTTAGGTTGTCAAAATGATTATAAATTAGAAATCTTGGGATAATTTATTATATCTTCTTGTTGCTTTGTTGCCCCAATCCATGTTCACTTATTGGATGAGATATTGAATATCCTCTTGAGAATTAGCTGACACTGAGCATGAACTGAGATATCCTGCAATCCCCGACACAATTCTTGCATAGTCTTGGGAGCAGCTGAATTCAATAGATTAATTAATAATTCAGCTTCTTTTGTGATATCGCAGACAATCTGAAAGAGCAGATTAAAAAAATAACAATATAAACAGATTAAAATAATATTTCTAAATAAATTAGTTTTGCATTTAACTAATATAATCATAACACTAATAAAACTTTCTTTAATACTAGAATGCACCACCTAGTAATTAATAACACATTTATTTCATTCATTCATCATTACTCTCTTTCCTACTATTCATGGGGTAGGAAAGCATTAGCCCAGATAAAAAAGATGAATTGAAAGAAGGTTGCAAATACAGTATTACAAAGTAAATTAGCATTTCCATCCATTGCAATACTGCATAGCATTCACACTACAGTACGCATATAACATCATTGACAAACGAGCACCACCACACTCCAGGAGACATTCACAGCAGAACCTCACCATTCGTACGACCAGGTATACAGTGTTCCTCATGAATTGTCATATACTAAAACAAATTGTCAGCTAAAACAAATACATTCACTCCCATCTTATAAATTATTTTCACCCAGCTTTGTCCTTTACCATACACCATGCATTGTTCACACTAAATTGCCACTTCAAACACACACACACACAATCACTGCTCTAAATACACTCTTCACAGGTCTTCCATTCTGCTCCAGATCCTATCTAGGAGACAGTAGTATCTTGTCTTAGAAAGCAATAAAGAGCTGGGGATAGATTTCCATAAAAAATACCAGTATTGAATGTAATGAAACGCCAGTTTCTGGGTGAGCCCTGGAGACTCCCTGAAGCTAGCATACTGATTAAGTGCCACATTACTTGGGATTATCAGTCACAGAGTTCTTTTA